AAATATAATAAAAGCAATATACAGCAAGCCGACAGCTAACATCAAACTGAATGGAGAGAAACTCAAAGCCTTTCCACTAAAATCAGGAACGCGACAAGGCTGTCCACTCTCTCCATACCTCTTCAATATAGTGCTTGAAGTTCTAGCAATAGCAATAAGACAACATAAGGAGATCAAGGGGATTCGTATTGGAAAGGATGAAGTTAAACTTTCGTTATTTGCTGACGATATGATAGTATACATAAGTGACCCCAAAAACTCTACCAAAGAACTCCTACAGCTGATAAACACCTTTAGTAACGTGGCAGGATACAAGATCAACTCCAAAAAATCAGTGGCCCTCCTATACACAAAGGATAAAGAAGCAGAGAGGGAAATCAGAGAAACATCACCTTTCATGATAGCCACAAATAGCATAAAATATCTTGGGGTTACTCTAACCAAGGAAGTGAAAGACCTATTTGACAAGAACTTTAAGTCTTTGAAGAAAGAAATTGAGGAGGATACCAGAAAATGGAAAGACCTTCCCTGCTCTTGGATTGGGAGAATCAACATAGTAAAAATGGCAATTCTACCAAAAGCAATCTATAGATTCAATGCAATCCCCATCAAAATCCCATCAAACTTCTTCACAGACCTTGAGAGAACAATAATCAAGTTTATATGGCAAAACAAAAAACCCAGGATAGCCAAAACAATCTTACACAATAAAAGAACTTCTGGAGGCATTACCATCCCTGACTTCAAACTCTATTACAGAGCTACAGTATTGAAAACAGCTTGGTATTGGCATAAGAACAGAGAAGTCGACCTATGGAATCGAATAGAAGACCCAGATATTAACCCACAAACCTATGAACACCTAATTTTCGACAAGGGTGCTAAAGGTATACAATGGAAGAAGGAAAGCATCTTTAACAAATGGTGCTGGCATAACTGGATGTCAACCTGTAAAAGAATGAAAGTAGATCCATATCTATCACCATGCACAAAAATCAAGTCCAATGGATTAAAGACATCAACATTAATCCGTCCACTTTGAACCTGATAGAAGAGAAAGTGGGAAGTAGTCTACAAGATATAGGCACAGGAGGCCTCTTCCTAAGTAGGACCCCAGTAGCACAGACAATAAGAGAAACAATGAAAAAATGGAATCTACTGAAACTGAGTAGCTTCTGTAAAGCAAAGGACACTGTCAGTAAGACAAAAAGGCTACCTTCTGACTGGGAGAAGATCTTCACCAACCCCTCATCAGACAAAGGTCTGATCTCCAAAATATACAAAGAACTCAAGAATCTAGACACTAAAACTCTAATTAACCCAATTAAAAAATGGGGTACTGAACTGAACAGAGAATTCACAACAGATGAACTTCGAATGGCCAGAAGACACTTAAGGTCATGCTCAACCTCCTTAGCGATCAGGGAAATGCAAATCAAAACCACTTTGAGATACCATCTTACACCTGTCAGAATAGCTAAAGTCAAAAACACCAACGATAGCCTATGCTGGAGAGGATGTGGGATGAGGGGAACACTCATCCATTGTTGGTGGGAATGCAAACTTGTGCAGGCACTGTGGAAATCAGTGTGGCGGTTTCTCAGGAAACTGGGAGTCAACCTCCCTCAGGACCCAGCAATTCCACTCTTGGGAATATACCCTAGAGATTCCCTAACATACTACAAAAGCATTTGTTCTACTATGTTCATAGCAGCACTATTTGTAATAGCCAGAACCTGGAAACAGCCTAGGTGCCCCTCAATAGAAGAATGGTTAAAAAAGGTGTGGAACATATACACATTAGAGTTTTACTCAGCGGTAAAAAACAATGACATCTTGAATTTTGCATGCAAATGGATGGAAATAGAAAACGCTTTACTGAGTGAGGTAAGCCAGACCCAAAAACAGGAACACGGTATGTATTCACTCATAAGTGGATTCTAACCCTAATTAAAGGTCTTTGAGCCTATTATTCGTGATCCTAGAGAAGCTAAATAAGAAGATGAACCTGATGAAGACTATTTAGCTATCCGCCAGGAGGTAGGAAATAGACAAGAGTCCCAGGTAACCTCGGGTGCATGGGGGGGTGGGGTGGGAGGGTTGTTGGAAGGGGAGAGGGTTAGAGAGAAGAGAGTAGGGGAGGAATGTGGAAAGCTCGGTGGACTGGGATGGAGGGGAGGGAGGTAGGATGAATATGGGATCAGGGAAGAATATATTTCAACTAAGGGAGTCATTTTAGGGTTTACAGGAGACTTGATTATAAATGGGATCCCAGGTCCAAGGAGAGATCCCCAGATTGTTCTCTAGACAAAGGAGAGGGTGCCTGAACCGGCCTTGGCCCATAACCATACTGATGAATATTTTGCTTATCACCATGGCGAAGGATGGCGATACAGACGGAGACCCACATTGGAGCACCAGACTGAGCCCCCCAAGGTCCAAATGAGGAGCAGAAGGATGAAGAAAATGAAAAAGGAAATAAGGACTGCGAGGGATGTTATCACCCACTGACACAAGGGTACAGATCTAATGAGAGTTTACCAAAGCCAGTTGGACTGGGACTGAATGAGGATGTGATCTAACCAGATTCTCGGAATTTGGCAGGATTCTCTGAGTGTGGCTGGCCTGAAGTCTTTCTGAAAAGCCATTGACTATGACACTGGGACTTGTTTCCTCTGCATATGCTGGATTTTGGGGATCCAGTCTGTTTGGATACTCACCTTCCTGTACCTGGAGGGATGTTGGAGGAACTTGAACTTCCCACAGGGCAGGAAACCCTGACTGCCCTAAGGGACGAAGAGGGAGGAGGAGAGGGAGTGGGGGGAGTGGGAGGGTGTTGGGAAGAGGGGCGGAAATGGAAACTTTTATAATTTAATAAAATTACTTTCAAAAAAAAAAAGAATGTAGAGAAGTGTCATTTGTTACCCGGGATTGTAAGTCAATGTGAGTTTCACAGAGTTTTGCACTTCAGGCTCAAGACCCTTAGTACGTTTGGATGACATTAGAGCTGGATACATCTTGACTGTGACCAATGCTGGGGACAGTGAGTCATTCATTCAATTTTCTAGAGTTTCCACTTCACTCTATCCAAATCTGAGAAATAATGTCTACCTTTGTTCTTTTACATCCTTGCCTGGAGCAAAGTGCATAAAAGGTCATTCAAAAGCAAAGCTATAGAACTTACAGAGTTCAGGTATACTCTGACAGATTAAACCTACATCTGTCTCATTTGCATTTTGAATTTGCATTTGTGAACCTGACATGATGCTGATATAGATTTCTCGGTATCTCATGGAAAACCCAGTGTGAACGTCCTCAGGCTCCCAGAGAGATGGTATTAATGCTGGAACAGCTTCAGGGTGTGGTGATTTCTGGTAGGCAGAGCCTCTTCTCACCAGTGCCCCTTGGTAAGTCTCTGGCATGTGCCTAGGTGACTCTGTATTTGCTTCTCCTACTATATACTGAGTCACACCATATACCAGTTTATGACAGAGGAATACTGAAGGCAGCTTGGTCTACTTTGTTCATCACTGCTCCATGTGGCTGCCCATCCTCCTATCCAAAGTCAAGGTAGGCATACGGAACTGTTGTCTACCCGTCTGTCTTTATCATCCTCTGGTACTTCCCCATTTAGACCCCATCACTGAATAATGACCTATTGGTGCAGGTCAGAAAGACCTCTGTCTTTCTCTGAATGGTCCAGCTGTGGTCCTCTGAGCTGAGCTCATGATGCTCTGGGCTCAGAGAGTATGCCGGCACAGACAGTATGTCACAGCTGTTGTCACTGGTCATTCCTCCTGGGAATGTAGATACCCTGGTGGCTTTCAGTAGAGTAGGAAACAGGAGATGGACTTGCTCCTACAACATGGGCACACTCCACAGAGTCACCACCCAGGGACCGGGAACACTGAGCCGGAGAGGCTTAAGAGCCTCCCTGAATGTGAAAATCTCTACATACTTGACTGCCACAATCTCAGTCACTGGATGCCATATCCTATTCACCAGCCAGATTCTCCTGGCATCCAGACAAAGGCTTTCTTTTTTAAATTGCATTTTTTTAATCTTACATACTAGCCCCAGTTCCCTCTTCCTCCACTTCTCCCACTCCCTTCTTACTTCCTCCCATCCACTCCTCAGAGGGGTTATAGCCTCCCTTCAGGAGTCAACAAAGTCGAATACACCAAGTTGAGACAGGACCAAGCCCCTACCCCCTGAATTAAGGCAGAGCAAAGTATCCCACCAAAAGGAATGGGCTACAAAAAGTCAGTTCATGCACCCAGGATAAATCCTGGTTCCACTTCCACCACATTCCTTCCCAGCAGATCAAGCCACATAACCGTCACCCACATTCAGAGGGCTTAGTTCAGTCCGATGTAGGATCCCCAGTTGTCAGTCTAGAGTCTGGGAGCTCCCACTAGCTCAGGTCAGCTGTCTCTATGGTTTTTCCAATCATGATCTCGAACACCCTTTTGCTCATATGATCCCTCCTCCCTCTCCATCTTAACGCTTCTATCAGCTACAACAGAACACCCAAAGCCTTCTATGCAGTATGCCCCGCCCCCCTAATAGCACCCATGTGGTCCATGTCCTCTGACCAACTATGGAAAAATACTGTTCAGCTCTAACATGGTGTACATTTTAAATGGTCAACTGTTAAAGGCTTGGTCACCCATTTTTTTTTGAGAAGTTATAAATCTTTCTGGAGAAGAGGACTAGTGAAAGAAATTAATTGAGGTCACCAGGGTGTTTTCTTAAAGGGAATATTAGGATCCCAGTTGCCTATACCAAGATGAACAGCTTTGTTCTGTCTCACAATGTCACCACAGTCTCGAAACATTCAGGTCAGGGCACCATGGACTTCCCTGTAAAACTATGTACCACAGGAAAGCTTTCCTCGTGATAAGTTGACTGTAGCCAGCATTTTATTATAGCACTGGAGTATTGACGCAGACAACGCATACGTATAACATTAACACACCCCATGCACACAAATTCTGGTAAAAGAATCAAAGGGTTTTTATTATTGTTAGTTTGCTTATCATTTATACACATTTATATCACATGTTACACAAAATGCCAACCGGGAAGCAAGTGTAGAAAAATAGTGGAACTTATTGGCACGAATGATTTTGTTATGACTAAGGTTTTGTGTGTCACAGACAATTGGCAAGTTTATTTAGGAAACCGTATATATTTTCTTTTTCAGCAGAGTAAATATGAGTTAGAAATCACAGTGGCATCAGGCTATACATACAAGTTCTTTCCTTGAGACCATGACAAAATACCTTACCTTTCTTCGTCATCTAAATACGTAATATTTGCAAAAATAAATAAAAGTTAAAATAAGTCATCTCATAGCCTTACCCTATGCTATCAAAGGACATTGGTCCAAGGCAGCTCCTTGTCTAAGCATGGCCATGCTTGTGAAGCCATTATGTGCCTCGTATTTGCTTGCACAGCTAGTTTATCTGCTAAATGGAAAAAAAAAGTCCTTAGAGTCTTTAGAAAATCCAAAGACTATAAAATCACAGCCAAGTGATATGGCACTGGGCAGGAAGAACTTCTTGGCAGACTAGATGTTGGCACACACCATCCATCTCTTACCATCCATCTCCTTTGACACTGATGAAGGAACAGTAGCTGTGTTCAAGAAAGCATTGTAATCCTACCTGAGTAGAGTTGAAATCACTTTGACATTTCCTGGGGATCAATCATCTGTATCAAGACCCACATAGGGCACTAAAATCCCAATATTAGAAGTATTGTTCGATTATAGAGCCACAGGATCATATCCTTATTGTTTTGCCCAACACTCTTAGTTCATTCTATCCCAGGCTGCTTAAGTAGCCATCTTTTCCTCCCACTAGATTAGAGGAAGCATTCTAAACTAATACTTTTAATGGCCACCTAGATTTATGACAGAGCCAAGGAAATACCAAATAAATTATGTTTATAAAAGAAATATATTCAAGAGTGAATTATGGGGGAAAATGGGTTAAAGTAAAATCATAGACTTCTCATCAAAACATAGAAAATGACTGTGACTACATGAGCTATACTTTTTATAGGAAAATAATGCAAGTATTTTCCTTTACATATGTATATGTATATACATATAAACATATAAGCATACAATGTTAGATATATTTTATTATTAAAGCTCCATGGGATATGAAAAATGAGGAAAATTATTTTTCCATATGCAACAATTTAGCCTGGAGCTAAAAAGACACTAAAAAATACCTCTGCAATTGGGAGCAATATAAAGGAATCAGTGACCTTTACAGGTTTCAGCTTCCAAACACTGTTAGATGTAATTCATTTCCTAGATGTGAGTCAAAGTTGCAAACTTTTCCCAACTCTTAATAATGGCTGATGATGTGCCCTGAGTAGAAAAAAGATAATCTAACCAATCACGCACTGAATTAACTTCCAAATGTGCAGAGTAAAAACACTTGGGAGTCAATATTTCAACTGATAAAAGCCTAAGCCTATAGTTTCAAACAAGGGACTGTCTCTCAAGCCATTCTGTAAATCACATTTAAGTCACATAGAATGTTTATTAATTTTTTCCTACAAAATTGCCTCCAGAAACCCTTTTGCTACAAAATATTTCCAAGCTAACCCCAGATTTTCAAATTCCTGATTCAGCAAATTCTCTATCTTAGCTTCATTTTCCTGTCTCGTCCATATCTGAACTGCTTTCCTAAGTGAGAAGGTAGGTTCCTCTCATGACATGAAAGTCTACTGTAAGTTATTATCTCGTGACGCTGCTGTTTGTGAATTCAGAAGTTCATGGTATCAACTTACAAGAGTGCTGAATTGTTTCTGCATCAATGTCAGTTGCTGTGGCTTATATAAGAAACTGGAGAAAAGGGAATGGGCTTTTAAAACAAGACACATCAAAACAGCACACACACACACACACACACACACACACATCACATCCCTATTCTGTGTCAAGCAAGGGGTTGAGCCTCAGGTTTTCCAGAAGAGTACACATGATGCTCGCCTCAAGGAATGATATGCACATATGGAAGAATTATGACTGTGATGACAATCTCAAGAGTTAATGAATTTATAGGACCTTGAGAACACAAAGATAAAATCATGATATTGTGACTTCAACTTATTCTTTAGAGGAACATCTTCTCCGTGGACAATTGAGTAGTGGTTCAAGCCCTTTCATAAAGGGACTTGATTTGTGGATGAATATATGTCTGCTAGCCTGGGATGAGAATAAGAGAAAGTACAGACATCACAGTTTCAGAAACTATGTTGTAACTATAAAGAGAAAAGACAATCTGGAGACAGAGAGACGGAGTAACACAGATGGTCTGCCAATAACGAGACACTTCCCCTATCCCCAGCTGCTCTCACTGACAACAATTTGTGAAACCACTTTTGTTGATGAAAATAATTTCTTATGGCATCTACCTTATTGGTTAGGTAAGTGTTTTACACAGGATCTTAGAATCTCACAAGGTTGTGAGTAATCTGACATCTGGTTTTGATTTTTTTTAATTGTGTCATTTCTAATCATGTAACTGGATTAAAAGAAACATAGCTCTCTCATCCCAAAATAGAATGAAAGCACAATGTTTAAACCTCAATTCTAGAAAAACAAATACTTGACTTCACCCTCAATATCATTTGTACATAATATAAACAACACTGAATGACTAGCAGTTTTCTGACTGAACTTTAGGCTTTTGCCACAAGAAGGAATTCCTCATCTAGTACTGCAATGCTGGTCAAAAGCCCAAGACATGAGGGGTCATCAGCACTAGGATAGAATCTACTCTTTTCATTTAGGTAAAGGATCACAATCATCAATTTGTCTTGTAAATATTTGTGTGTATACCCACAGACAGGGGTTGCTCTCCGCTTCAGTCAGGGGAGCTTCTTGTTGTAGTGGATAGCAGAGATGTATAGCTGGTCAGAGTGCTGAGAATGAGAGACTGAGGGCTGACCCCAAATGGGATGACTATAGCAATACTCCACCCTACCTGGGCTCAACAGGCGTTGCCAAAGAGGAGAGCAGGGACACAAGAAGAGAAGAACTGGAGGCTAGGAAAGAATGCTGGGAGATGCTATCTTCTGGATATGACATGGTTATCAGGCTCCTGTATTTACACCAACTCTGATCATTTCCATAAGACCTACACAAGATAAAGTCAGGCAGAACTCCCACAGAGATGGAGAAGCTGATCTCTGGGTCTCAGTCCTTGCCTAGAAAACTATCAACAGTTGATAGCTTCTGGGAGAAGGGAGAATACTTCTCCTTTGAAGGTGCAGCTACTCAAAGGTTTCTAATGCTCGAGTGAATGACCACATATCTAGGCATGTATGGGCAGTACTACTAACTGTACTTAAGTCGTGAGTTTTAAAAGACATGAGGTTAGGAGGGAGAGGACTGGGAGATGATTTTACAGAAGTGTGAATGATGAATTGGGGAGAGAAAGCATGTATGATCATGTCTCATTGTATATATGTATGAAATTCCTAAAGAATTAATCAAAGATAAAGTGTTTTTTCCAAGCTGTTCTTCCACATTTTGTATTATCTTATTTGTTGTCATCTTCTTGGGTTTCTCAAGGGGAAGTGCGGAAGTTATGTCTGCTATGCACCTCCAGATGACAACAGTTCAGCATGATAGGAAGAGCAGGGCCATGGACTTCCCATAAGGCTGAGGGAGGGGCGGGGTCAAGGATCCCTAGAACCAGAATAGGTGAGGGCTATTTTAACAGCCTGGGACAGGACTGCCACCTGGGCATCTCATTTCCATTTAGAATCCCTTGTCAGAGATCACAGAGGTAACTTCTTCCTGACACGAGAAGAAAGTGAGAAGAAAGTGTGTGAATGTAGAATTCTCACTGCTCCTTTTGCCAAGCTTGCTCAGATACTCCCCATGTGTTCTTTAATGTGCCGTCATTTCCTCTTCTTGCTCTCTCTCTCTCCCCATTCCGTAATGTCTTATTTGGTTCCCTGTCTTGGAGGTTACTTCAGAAAACCCTTCACTGGGCTATATCAAGGCTTCACCATAAAGTACCCCCAAGGAGGACTTCCTGAAGGCCAGTACCTTTCTGGTGTAGGCTGTAGGCCTGGGTCTGACCTCTCATAGCCATACAGCATCGGTGAGGCACATCAATGTTAGTTATCGCTTGATTTTGCTAAGCCCTGAGCTGCTGGAGTCAGCAGTGCGTCTCGGCACAGAGGAGGCCCTCATACAGATGTATCCAGTGGAGGAATGATGTCATGAAAGAATGCAATGATGGCTGCGTGCATGGGAGAATGGGGCTCCTCTTTACAGTTTCACTTTCATGGCTATCTTCTTGCTCTTCCCCAGACAATGGAAATCAAAATTCCCCAACACCCTGCTCCATCTCAAGGCTCCAGTCCAGCTCCTCCTTAATAAGATCACAATAATTGGTGGCTCCTTCTTGAGTACCCAAGAGTTGTCCTTCACATGTCTTTGGGGTCCTGTCTGACACAGACAGAAGCTCAGAATGTCAATGAGCTGCAGAAATGCATACGATGTGTTGTCCCTACTACACTTTCCCATGTTCTCAGCGCTGCCCTGATTTCAGCCTGCCACTGAGGTCATTATGTGACTCCAGACTGACTTTAGCTTTCTACCTTCTTCTTTGAGTTTATTTGGTTCATGATCAGCGAATTCCAAATAAGCTCAAGGTCAGTAATGTTTATTTCTAACTAGTTTGGGGAAGCTACCGATCAAACAAACAAAACCTAAAAATAGAACTGAGGAAGGAAACATACTGGCTCATTACCTTGACAGGAATTTTGTTTATCATTTTTATAACCAATAATAGAATGTCCATGTTTACATTATACATGTATATTATGTATACTGATATATATTATATATATATATATATACTTTAATAGAAAGAGACATAAAAAAGCCTTTTCAAATGAGGCATGACACGCAATACTTGACACTCTTATTTACAGGACATGAGTACACCTTCTACATGGTGAGAATGGATTCTCAGATGCCAGTTAGGGTTTACAAAGACAGCAGGACACCTAAAAGAGGCGTGCCATGCAGCTGAACGGTTATTGCCATGATTTCTCACTAGTCCAGACAGCATATTGAAGTTAAAAATGGCATCTGATTATTGGAAAAGACGATGATTGTCAGACTCATTCTGACTCCGTAAGTACTACGTGGTCTGTCACATGACCGGGGGTTGACAAGTGCTGCTGCTGAGGGCTGGAGACACAACAGGAAGCAAGCAATTCAGACCAGACAGGCAGGGCTCCACACGTATCCAGAAAGGAGAACTTGCTACAGATTAACTATGCTGCGGCAAGCAGCAGTGCTTGTCTAAGTCAGAAGATCCTGGGTTGCGTGGCGAGGGAGAAAGTTTTCTCCAAGAAACAAAGCCAACATGTCAGGGCCATTGATTAGACAAGAGCCTGTGCCAATCCATGACTCAGGAACTCAGAAAAATGTCCAATGAGAAATGCATGCATCAAGACCAGTACATTAAGAAATGCAGAAAAGACCCTCAGAGAAATCCTGAACTCACTGTAGGTCTACTGTTGCAAAGCCTTCAGTCCCTCCCAGTTTGTTGCTCTGCAAACTAAAGATCTGCACTCATTTCCCATGGTCTGAATTTATATACTGTGTGTGTGTGTGTGTGTGTGTGTGTGTGTGTGTGTGTGTGTGTTTATGGTTCTAGCATGTACCCAGACTCCCATGGCTTTCTTCCCATGGGATCAGTGACCTGGGAACCTGGTTCAGGTGCCCAGAGCCAGACAGGTTTCCATACCATGTAGGGTTTTTCTGAGAAAAGAAAAAAAAAAACCCATGGGCTTTGTCTCCAGTGTGATCATTCATGTTGCCCTGATTGGTGCATTTCTTCTAAATGTTCATCCTTTTGTCTTTAGCCTACATAATGCACTTAAATGGGGACAATTTTAAATATCTTGGTATTTTCAAAACTTTTGTGTCCATCACCCACCAGTCACACTTGAAGTTGGGTTTCCAGTCTGGCTTTTGTTCTCCAGTCTGATCTCACTTTAGCCTCTGCTATCTATTAGTTTCTACAAATGTGGTCTTTCCTAGCCCTTTATTTTCCTAAGGCAAGAAGACATCACTATTGAAAGATAACAGCACCCTTCTTAAAGCTCCCCTGAGGTTCTTTACCCAGCCTGCCTCTCTTGGGTTGTCTTTCTCCTTCCAGGGAGAAGAGAAACAGCTGGCCATGTTAATGGTTTTGAATGGTTGCCCTTGCATTCAAGGCTAATACAGCATGTCTTTGGAAGTGTGTCAGCAGGAGTTTCACACATGCATACATTCATCCGACTGCCTCCTTTCGCCAGGTAGAGCCTCTCTTGTCTTCCCTACTTCCGACGGGACTTTAGGCATTCATTAAAACCAATTTGTGGACCAGGCAATGCATAGAAAAAGTTTAAGGAAGTAGGTGGAACAACTTGTTCGATATGTTCCCCGCAGCTGTTTCTGTTTACACCAAACCTGTATTGACCAGTAGCGTCGCGTCACCTTTATCTCCCCTCTTATTCAGTCGCCCTACCTATTGCTGCTAGAAAACAAAATGTGAATTTATCACACTTTCTCTTGTCCTTTCTTTAGAAAACATGGAGAGGATAAGAGCGTGTACAGAATAATTTTTTTTTGAACAAGTGGTATGTTTGAACTACTAAGGGGTCATATTTATAGGAAGATGCCCCACTTCCACACAGAAGTTAACCTGAGTTCTGAAATGTTTGTGTGCACTTAATAGAATTAACACATGATAAAGCTATGACCTAGTAACAGACTTGGAAAATCTAGTTAAGTTGGATCAATTCCCGTGAGCCAGGGTGGTTATGAAGCTGGGCTCACCAATGGCAAGTGTGTTCTGTTTCTTATTTTCTCTATTATCCCTAGAAACAACTTGAATGAGACTCTAGGTAGCTAGACAAATTCACGAGAACACTGTTGTGGTTTACACTGTTTGTTCAGCTTTCCCAATGTCTCAGTTACAAATATCTCTAGTGTCCAGTCCCACCCCAGCTTCATCCCTCCACACCCTCCATCTCCTTCTACTCCACTCTGGAATTCAGAGGTATGGAAAAGCATGACATAGCTAAGAACTGAGCTGGTCTTAAACAGCTCTGGCCAGTCACCCGGCTGTTCCCTGGAGGCCCTACTTGAAATAATTGAGTCCTGCCACCAAGAAAAACTTCTCAAGGAAGAGTTCCGAGTCCAGCACAGCGATATGAGCTGCACGGCCAATCAGAGTGTTGGCAGTGTTGGGCAGAGCATGGAACACATTGTGTCTGATCAAAGTGCAGCCCTTAGCTTCCACCAGAGGGCCCAGGAGGTTGTTGATCATTTCTGCATACACTGGCCCTGGAAGGAGGAAAGAAAACAGAGGAAGTTAGAGCAGAGGGTTGCCATATAGGCTGGAGAACATCTCTGCACGTGTGTTGGCACAGCCCATAAGAGACTGAGTTCCAACCTCATGCTAGGGGGTGCAAATAAATGAGGAATGGAATCCAGTGTCTCTCTAGAGATTGCACGTGGTGGGGTTATCGTGTCTTTCTTCGGATAACATAGCTCCCTGGTGTCAGACGTCACAGTACAAGTGAGAGGAATCCCTAAAAGAATGTTGTCTCCCAGCAAGGGACTAAGAGGAAGAAGACACAAGCAAATGTCGTCAGAGATTCAGTTTCTGCATCAGAACACCATGGGGGCTGGATCCATATGTGAATCACTTATGAAAACTGATACTTCCTGATGTCAAAATTTAAGGCCAAGCAGCACTTCACTATCCCCTGATTCTGGTGAAGTGGGGGGGGGTGCAGGGGTTTTTGCTATTAGGTTCCATTATTTTTATAATTAAAAGACTCAGTTGACTGTGTTTCTATCTAAAACACAGTTTCAGGTTTGCTTTAGAAAGCGGGACATAGAGACATGCAGTAACAGAAATCACTGAGCAAAGAGCAGCGTGTCCACCAGCGTCTGCAGTCCACATCGCTCCTCCATCAGCTGCATTCCTGCAGCATCTTCATGACAAACTTCATGCCATACAGGGACACCTGCTGGATGATACTGAGGGCCAAGGTGGTTTTTTGACTCAGTGGGAACGGTGGAAACTGTAAGTTGTGACATACGTCTCCAGGTGTCCATTCCAACTAAGACTCGTGGCATAAAGTCATTAAAGGGCTCCGTTTTCACAGACAAGGACAACCCTACTGAATAGTCCCATCATGTTTCCCCGCTCCAGATACTGCTCCTTTCCACACCGACAACCTTACACTGCTCCCCCTTCCCCTCAACTTATCATTAGTGCCCACTGTCAGGGCTGTTTCCCTAAGTGGGAGGGTACTGGACTGGACCGGATGCAGAGAGCACTGCTTTTAACCTCTTATTCTCCTCTTTCAAGGCCCTGGTAGTTTTGAAGCTGGAGAAGCTAAAATACAAACTGAAATAGTCTTGGATTTCTTTGTGAAAGTATCTGCCCTGATCTTACCAATTTGTCTGAACAGAAATGGCTTGTGGTTGGAATGAAAGGAATTCTCCTTCGAAAGAGCCTATAGGGCTGCCTGAGAATCGCAGCAAATTTATGTCATAAAATCATATGCGCCAAGTGAGGCTTTTAGAGAGGACATTGAAGTCAATCCAAAGTCAGTATCAAAGAACTGGATATGAGCAACGGGTGTAAAAGGACAGACTCTAGGTGTGGCCTGGCTGCTGCATTTGTAATTCAGAGCAGTTGTTGGGCCTGCACAATATCGAGCCAGTTAAAAATGGAGGGAGAAAGGGGCTCCAGATACCCCACTCCTATGAAGAGCTATTGCCTCCAGATGACTATTGAGGGATGAAGGCTCAATTTTCTTTAGAAGTGCAGCCCCCGGTAGGTGACCCCAGTTGGTCATCACATACCCATGTGCTTATGAACAACATTAATTGGACCCAGTGGGTTACTAAAACTAAAGACATGAAGTTGGATGAAAAAATGTGTTGGGGAGTGCTAGCAGAAGGGGTTGGAGAGAGGGAAAGGGCATGGATATGACCAGGATATATTGAATAAATGCATGACAATTTTAAGAAATAAAGATAAAACACTTTTTTAAAAAAATGGCTGATAGAGTAATAGGTCAGCCATGTTTATTGGTTTGGTCAGAAAAGTCCCTGCCTCTTTTCACAGACGCCTATAACAAGAATTACACCTGAGTGTTGTAACATAAAAAGAAACAGAAGGAGAACACTGTTCTACCAATTTTATAATCTGTTTATATTATATATGCAGCAGGGCCTGAAGCATGATTAATAAAAACTCAGACAGATACTGTTGAGACACATTGTTGCCTTTAACTCCTAGTAATTATTTTTAAATATACATGGCACATCCTTAATTATTTTTCTCAAATACAGCACCCCTTTCCTGTTGATCAACTTTCAGGCTGGTATAAAATTGTCTGCACAACAATCTGGTGACTAAAAGAAGTGACAAAGAGACAAGGGAGATCAGAAGATTTATCGCAGAATTTTTAGAAGGTAGGATTTTTTTTTAGCAATACTTAATGAAAACAAAAGTAATGAAATGAACAAATATTCCCACGTGGTCAGGTAAATTTATGAATTAAGACACGTGGCTTTGATAACTCATTTAAAAGTGTCAAGTAAACATGACCATAGAAAAAAAGGGGTGCTGTTTCCCTATCACTAGAAGGATTCAAATTGTAGGTGGATCTCCTTTAGAGAGGGGCAGCAAGTCAATGTCTCCAAAACAGAAGAGAGTGGTATAAAAGGCTGCATCTTAGCAATAGCTTTAGGCTAGTGTTTGACAAACTCTCAGAGGCTTGCACAATGAGTCATTCCAATTCTAGAGGAAAACATCATCTGCAGACCCTACTGGGGACCCAACCTACGCCTCTCTTTTCCTCTGTGAAACTGGAATTACGTCTCTCACCACGAAGAGGAAATGAAACATGCAAAGGGCCTAGAACTGTCCCTGACACACGAAGACCTCAGTGTTCAGCAGTTTTGCTCTAATAAAGGACAGGCAAAACTTGCCAGCACATGCCATAGGCTCACAAGACATTCAGGAGTGCCACCAACATGAGTCTCAAATCTGGAACTGAAGCTTGCAGGGTAAGCAAAGAGGTGTGGCTGTGGGTTATATTTAGCACCTGGGGCATAAATTTAGGGGCCCTGTATTAAGCGTTTACAAACTTCAAATGTCATCAAAATTACTGGAAGTAAAGAAAATAAGAAAGCTAGTGAATGACCACAGAAGGAAAAGGCTTGGCAGTCTTCTAGCAGTGACATGGTCTTGTAGCAGTGATGCATTGTGATCAAGTGTGAACTTAAAACCAGGTCACTAACTCTTTTACTCTGGTCTTAGAGTAGAGTAGTGTGCTCTGGAAAAATAATAAACCTAAAAATCAATCAATCATCAAAAAGCATCAAATCAAGTGTGGGTTGAAAATTATTAGTAAAGATCTTTAAATTAATATCTCAGAAACAGTAGAGATCCTTAGACACTCTGGTAGAACAGAATAGCTGGAATAATTATTTGAAAAGTCAATTGGCTTAGATTTATCACTATTTTTGCTTTGGTAGCACTACACAAACACACAAAGACTCCTAATGCAATAGGATTTTATGCTTCTAAACAAGAAGGGTCATAAAAGTTCAGAAAATTGTAAATTTTTATTTAGGTTGTAATATATTCATAAAATAAGCAGAATTTTTAAAATGATGTATGTATATATAATAATTTAATTATAGGCAATTAAGTATAACATCACGCTAAACAAACCCTGATAAAAAAAAAACTTGTAGCTCTGTGTGGGGTGTGTGTGTGTGTGTGTGTGTGTGTGTGTGTGTGCACATGTGTGTGTGTGTATGTGTGTGTACATTGCTGAGTATGTGTGAGCATGGGTGAGTGAAGCAAAGGACACCCATCATCAGGTGTCTTACTCTCTTGCTCTCTGCTTTATTGTTTTCGAGAGGGTCTCTCACCAAATCTGGAACTCACCAGTTGGCTAAACTCAATGAGCAGTGAGCCCAAGAACCATTCTCCTCTCAGCACTGGGCTCACTGATAAGCAAAGCCACGCCCAGCCTTTCAATGCTTAGGATCCAAACTCAGGTACTTAAGCTTGTACAACAAGCACTTCAACTCCTGAGTCATCATCAAAACCCTGGAAATCTACCACTTGTAAGTAGACTCATGTATACAAAGAGAATAAAAGAAAATGAGGTGGAGGTAAGGGGGAGTACAGAAAGGATTAATTCTGATCACAGTTGGATAAAATAGATTTGATTTCTCCAAATACTCTATGAAGGAATTTTTTCTATTTTTTCAGATTTATGTGTTGTGTCTGTGTGTATAGGTCTATGTGACTGTGTGTGTCTATGCATGCATGTTTCTGTGTGTGTATGTGTCTGTTTGTGTGTATTTGTCTGTGTCTGAGTGTGTGTGTGCACACTCTCAATTGTGTGAGTGCATCTGTGCATTCATACTCTCATGTGTGCGTGTGAGTGCATCTGTGTATTCACACTCTAATGTGTGTGAGAGTACATCAGTGTTTTCACACTCTCGTGTATGTGTGTGTGTGTAGGCATTTGTGTATGACATGTGTATTGGGGTGTCCTTGGAGGACAGAAAAGGGCATTGGATTATCTAGAGTTAGAATTACAAGTGTTTGTAAGCTACCTGATATGAATACCAGGATAGAACTCAGGTCCCCTGAAAGAGCAATACATGTTCTTAGTCACCGAGCTTTCTACCTGATCCTTTTTGAAAAAGATTTATTTTTAATAGTTTTCTATTTTTTAATAGTTTTCTATTTTAAAGAATAATTTTCTGGTCATATGGGGTGGCAAGACAGGAGAATCTCTGTGAATTTAAGGCCAGCCTGGTCTATGCAATAAGTTATAGCTAGCCAGGGGCACATACTGAGACTTTGTCAAAAAGACAAAACAAAACAAAAATAAAACAAAAAAACAAGTTAACAAACATTAAAAAATAAGTATTTTTTGTGACACACTTTAGGTTACTTTCCAGAACACATACTAGACCGTAAAAACCGCAAGACCATTTTCTGTATTTAAATTATTAAGGTAATTTTTCATTCAAGTTTTGTTAGGTTTCCCTTGATTTAAATAGAAATTTTGAATATTTACATATGAGTACCTAGTTTGGGGGTCTTAGACCCTTTAAAAAATTCATAATGTAAAAAAAAATAAAAATATAACAAAAGCACTTGCTTTTGAAACAGTAAAATATACTACTATATAGAAATAAACTAACCAGCCAGAGAAACAAGGAATGCTAGCCCATCTCCTGGTTCTGGTTGCCTAGAAAACTTATACCCTCATCAGCTGACCTCTCCCCAGAACCCCAATAGTCTCCTGCCCTTGTCTCATTTCCCTCTGGTAAAAATGGAATGTATTACACACTATTTTCTTTCCTTATCCATTGTACTTTGCTCTTAACACTCTTGCTTCCCTGCTCTAACTAGACATTAAAGTCCTTACAGGGCAGAGCCCATTTCCCAAGTCTGTATCCATCCTTCTATTTTCCATGGACAACACACAAATGTAGTTTATCCGTTTCAGGCAACTGACAAGCAAATGGATGTTCATATCACACAAAGGAAACATCCATACTGTTATCAGCAATCTGTGTGCATACTCAGAGTGTGGTTATCCCAACATTCCATTCCAGAATCAGGGCAGCAGTGTAGGCTGCCCAGAGCCTGAACCTAGCTAGTATATATACTCTGGATTTCATATATCTGCTTTCACTTGGAAAATTAGAAAGTCCCTGTCAAAAGGAAATGTAGCTTACCTGTGTGTCGGTCTTTGAGGGCAGTTTTACACATTTCGATCCTCGCTGAATGAAATGGCACGTAGCGGTCTTGGGGAGAAGCAACCAGAACAACGTTTTTAAAATACTGCAGCCCTGGAACAAGAAGGCAGGTGAGTGTTTTCTATCTGTGTCCTTTACACTGACACCCCCTCTGGGTGTACACATTTAGAAGTCTCCCCCAGAGAGTGGCAGTGAGGAGACACGGGGCACTGTGCTGTACCTTTGCCCAGGACTAATGCTCCGAGTGTCAATACTAATGGCTCGGGAGGAGACATAGCAGGCACTTGTGAGAAGCTGAGAACGGAACTCAGTATGTTAGGACTTTTGTGTTTTGGACATAAGATAAAGTCCTTGACCTCAAGAGTATAGAAGCCAAGGAGTTTCACTGTGAATACTGAGATAAATGCAGAAAAAGTACCTTGCAATGAGAACAAAACCTGTCTCTGCAAGCTAGGAAAATATGGAGCCTACAGGGAAGATGGTTTCATCTTTCTCCTTCTTCCTGGCCCTTTAATCCTAGCCTCTCCTCTCCTGTCACCTGCAGTAGGAAAGCCTTCCCTTGCCTCCTCCAACTTCCCCTCCTCCAAGCTTGCCTTCTCCAGCCTCACTCCACTCCAGCATTGCCTTCCTTATTTGTTTCCCACAGAGAATATAGACAATTTTCCAACCCAAAGTCAGCACAGCTAAGTGATGCAGCCCTCAGTGCTCATTGTGGACATCTGGGAACAGTGCACAGCACACTGCATTCAGCCCCCACCTGAAGATGGAGCGCTTCTTATCCTACCTACAGTTGAACAAGACACTGGCTGACTGTTCTTGCTGACCCTCTCTATATGGTCTCACATCCATATCCGAGGTCAGAACTGAGCATCACACACTGCGACAGAATCCAGGGCTATGGCTGGCTGATATGGACACAGGAAGGACGGTAACCCCGAGATCTCCTTCAGGACAGAACTGGAACAACACTCCAGCTCTTGACTGCTCCATGCCTGAAACAAACTGAGACTTCTGTGTTGAACTCATTGCAATTCGGCATCTCTGTATGCCCAATCCTACCTCTTTTCTCCTACAGCAGCTAACTGGATAATCCTCTTAGAATAGGGAGACACAAATACAAAAGGAATAGCTAGATCTTGTATGTGACTTTGATACAGGGGTATCAATAGCTGCTCCCTTCCTGAACATAGACTACTGGTCCATTATTGATGCTTCCCTCTGTCATGGACTCTATGATCTAGGCTGGGTTTTCACACTACTCTACATCACCACCACAGGGTGAGGAAAAATAGAAAAGGAAGCTCATGTGGGAACCCAGACAATGCTCTACCCACTCTTTATGAGGATGGATCCACACAGGGTGACGATGGATCCATACATACAAGGTGAGGGTGGACCACAGTCCTGGCATGCCAATAGAATACACTACATGACTGGCAAGGAATGGAAGTCACAGCTTCTGTGTACTGCATCAGCCCTGCACACACCTTGGATCCTGCACTATACAGGAGGCAGGTAGAGACAGGCTGACACATTGGGTATCTTCCAGCCTGTCAGCAGATTGAAGAGACACTGCTGGAGAGTCTCAACATATCTCACAGGAGCAAACGAACACACTGTCAAAGTGAATCTATCTTAAGATCTCATCCTCAGGGGCCTAGTAAGCCACACACCTGTTTTCTGGCTAAGTTGGTAAAGGAAACATTTGCGCAAATCAGCATTATCCCTGAAGGTCAGCTGCAAAAGGGAGCCAGATTTCTTCAGTTTCTGCATGAGCCACAAGCCTAGGAAGAGAAATGGAAAATGAAGATGAAAAAGTAACTTGAAACAAAGTCAAAGAAGATTTTTTCAGTTAGCTTAAAACAGAGCAATGGGACTTTTATTAGATAATCAAGAGTTAGGTGTGTGTGTGTGTGTGTGTGTGTGTGTGTGTGTGTGTGTGTGTGTTTTATTTGCATGTGCACATAGAGGTCAAAGGAGAACATCATGTGTCGTTTGAGGATCAGGTGTCTGATATATCACACCCCATCATATTCCTGAGACGGGTCTTTCACTGAACACAGAGGAAGGCTGGCCGCAGCAAACCCCAGAAACCTTCCCATCTCTATCTGCTCTCTCCACAGCACTGGGGTTACGGCTATGCATGGATGATGGGGACATCAAGATTTTTTTGAACATTCTAGAGACTTGAACCCAATTCCTCACACTTGTGCAGTCACTGTTCTTATCCAATAACTGGTGTCCCCAGTCCCCAAATTTACATTCTTAGTGTTGGTAGCAGGAGTATAAAATTGTTCTGCCAAATTACACAGCAACGGCTTCTCTGACCATGAAACCAAGCATACTCTGATAGTCATTTGGTCTCCTTCAGTAAAGGTAGCTAAAGGGAAGAACACCCAAAGGTCCACAGACTGGAAAGCTAGAATACATATTGTTTACACATCTCATGAAGTGCTTATGCAGATGATTACAAGAGTATAATAGATGTCAACAATAAAGGAATGAATGCCATAAAACATTATAGAGAGAGAACCATATACGATAGTTGTTGATATAAATGCCAACATGTGTAGAAAAATATAAGAACCACAGTGAATTAATTACTTTAGGTATTCTAGGTTGAATAAACTGGGTATCATATCTTTTAAAGACTTTTAAAATATTATTTCAAGTTTATAATTATTTGGAGGAAGTAGCTAAATAAATTTATCTTTGTCCAAAGATGGCTTTGGGTTTATTCTGAAGAAAAGACATTTCTTATGTATAAAAGTACAAAATAAGCCATGAGCACAGGTATCATCCTTAAGATACTGGAGAGAATAATCATGAAGCCAAGTCACATCTTGAAGAAAATTGCAGAGTGATTGGGAAATATGGGGAGGAATGGAGGCATGGCAGGGAGAGAGAGCTCATTTGAGGTGACCTCAATACCACATGAAGAATCGAGCCAATCATAACATATGCAGTCCTATTTGTTCAGTCTGAAAGCTGTTTTGTTTTAAATTGGGTTGTCTGTTGTCTTGGGGTTTAGTGTTTTGAGTTCTTTGTACATCCTAGATACTAATTCTCTTGTCAGATGCATAGCTAAGAAATATTTGCCTTTCACTCTATAGGATGTGAGTGGATGGATCTCAAGGAGTAGATGAATATGATCAAAATACATTGTATGCATGTATGGAATTCTCAAATAATTAGTAAAAAAATACGTTAAGGATATATGATTTAACTAACACTTACCATCACTGTATAAATATCTTGTATGTGTTTCTGAATGTGAAACCATTTGCTAAAACCCATTAACACTGTCTCTGGGGTCTGCATGTGTGTCTAGCACCTTGTTGAGTCATGCAAGGCCCTTCATCATCTGGCTGTGGTCAGGCACTTCATCCGTCTTGCCCTGTGAAGTGCTGTGGTTCTATCTCTGAGACTTTGTTTCAGTTTGCTGATTAGATGAGCCTTCTAGGTCATTACATACACCAGCAAAGCTTCCTACAATCTGCCTCTCATTTTACATCAAGCCTCTCTCTTCCTCCTTCCCGTTGCTGCCCCTTCCTCCACCTAGAATAGATAACAAGTCAGCTTCTTAATGTTCCCTTTGAATTCACCTCTTACACAACCACGAATGCATGTATGCATGTGTATGCCCACACAAGTCAGATCCTGGTGCAGATGAGTTCCACACCTGCAGAGTCAACACACCAAGGGTTAAAAGTATTTTTTTCAATAGTTGCGTGTCCTGGATAATTTTTCTGGACATTATCCATAGACAACACTGTATATTAACTTCTTATATAGCATTTGAATTTTATTAGGAGGTAAAAACTAGAGATGATATAAAACATGAAAAAGGTTTTTCTAGGTTACATGTACAAACTATGAGAGTTTATATGATAGACTTAGGAATTCTCATCTGTTTGAGTCTGTGAGGGTTCGAGAAGCCATCAGCAATAGATACTAAAATATAAATATGAACACACACATATATTCCATGAATATTTAAACACACACATAACATTTGTAATATGATTAAATACATATGTGTACTATATATGCACTGTAATATACATACATACATATATATATACTGTAAATATGTATACATGCTGCAGGAGCTCCTTCTGCTCCTTCAGCCAATAGCCTTTAAGATACCAGCCCACTGGGGTGTGGTCTCTTATACTTTAAAAAGCAGCAGAACCAGGCCTCTCTTTCTTCCAGCCCGTTTCCACAGCTAGACTGTGCTTCCTGTTTGCGAGGAGAGGACTGTTGTTTGGGATGGTGATCTGTAAGTTTTTCCCCTCAAATAAATAACCTTCTTTTATGACCCCTGATTCTTAACTGGTGTGGGATTGTTTTGGGGCTTCATATACACATATGCTAGCATGCATTAGGCACACGCAGTCTCCATTTCACAGAAAGTAAATGAATATTGTAGAGTGAGTAGCCTTAGCTAAATTTAATAATTAGAAGCCAGACTCCACATATGAGAGCAAACACAGTATTTGTCTGGATATCAGCTTAATTTAATATTTTTCAGTTCTACCTATTTATTTCAGGAAATTCCATAATTTAATTTTCCTTTTTGGTTGACTAAAACTCCCATGTGTATAAGTACCACACTGCCAGACCAAATCTCCATCCACCATCCCACATTATGGAGAGCCATAAGATCCCATCAAACACTTCTGTCTCCAGTTCTAAGTTCCTCAGGCCTCTGATTAACTCTGAAGAATAATGAGGGTGATGAAGCCTTACCTGTACTAACCAGGGTGCTGTTGTTGTACAGAGTCCCCAGGTGAGGCCCAGACAGTGACAGGAATGTGTGGAGTTTGTTGAGGTAATACCGGAACCGGGGCCTTGTGAGGACGGATCTGATGATAATGTTACCAAGAGAATGACCGATGAAGCTGTTTAGAGGCAGGAGTGATACATGTGAGTGCCGGCAGGGAACCACTGCCCGGGGATGGGCTAGAGTGATAAGCACCGAGGTCTTAGCATCTTCCCCCAGTTACGGAGGACCTGACATAAAAATGGCCACTACAGCCTCACTATCGCCCAGTGCTGGTGCTTGTGAATGGAAACTTTGCTCTAGGCAAATATAGTGAGGTACAGGAGAACTGTGGTGTTTACCTCATAGGTCCATTATGAGAGCAGTGCCCCTGATGTCTAGTCCCCAGACCTCCTCTCAGCCCATCTGGGGACAGCATGGAGTCCTTTCTGAAATCCATCTATCTAAGCACTGTGCTCTCCTGGCCATTTACAAAATGAAACCCCCGTCTCTTATACTTTCCCAAGAGGTCACTCATCATCTCAGCTCTGCCCCCACTCAGCTCCTCGTTTCTCTGCACGTGTACTGAGCTGTCTGCTCCCTCTTATACTGATTGACCATTCTCCTCCATGCTCTGTCCCAACTTCCCGCTCCTTCCGGACCCATAAATTCAATATGCCATTCAGATTTCAATGAGTCATTTCTCAAAACTCTATAATATGGCAGGTGCGTCATCTTACCTCTTCTCACAGTAAACATAAAACCAACAAAATAAAGACACAGATGTTAGCCTATACAATTGGATTGCCTGAACTATGTGATGCCATTACCACCAAACCACTCCTGACCTCAGAATCCTGATTTGTGAAATAAATACGTGATCTCATAGCCCTGGAGACTAAAAACAACAACGGGCACCATGACGTTGGTCCTATGCTGATGTATCTACATGCTAAAACAGAACAAGCTAGTCTGAGCTATCTAAATTTTTAGACCAAGCTTTTGCGATATTTTGAGGATACAACTGGCACTGGCTGAAACCCTCTCATTGGATGGGAGAGTCCTGCAGGGTTCTAGTACATTAATTTCCTGATAATCCAGTTAAGACATAACAAAGGGTGGCTCAAGGATTTGAAAAGTGTGCAAAAAGTTGCACATTCGGCACATGGCAGATCCTAAACTTGGGAGAATTCAAACATGAATTCAAACCTAGAGACAGTTGTTCTAATTTTAAGATTCCTAGTGCTCCACAGCAAAATATTTATTCTTAGCATTCATATTATGAGAGATATTCAGGGAAGAAACCAGACTTGCTATTCACTCACTCACTCACTCCTATCTAAAAGTAATCAGATTCATTAAGAGCCCAAAATTCAATTATCATAGTGCCTTATAGAAGTATCTAAACATCACTATATGGCAAACACTCAAAAACATGTCACCCATCTTCCCTCAGCATTAGCTACCTGTGGTTTCCTTTTACCTAATTCGGGATATGGAGAGGTTGTACAACTGGATGTGTTGAATGATTTCATCCAGCAATCGATCTGTCATGGTATCAAAATCTGCAAATGTATCCATCTGTAAGAAGAGAAGAGGAGAAGATGTTGGAAGAAGTTATGACCTCTGTTGAAAGAGGGCTACTAGTTAGTTCCTGGCCACCCAGCTAGCTTAGACCCAAAATAATCACACAGAAACTGTATTAATTAAATCACTGTTTGGCCCCTTAGCTCTAGTATCTTATTGGTTAACTCTTACATATGAATGTAACCCATTTCTATTAATCTGTATTACCACGTGGCTGTGGATTACCAGCTAAAGTTTCAGCACATCTCACTCTGGTGGCAGCTCCATGGTGTCTCCCTGACTCTGCCCTTATTTCTCCTAGCATACAGCCTAGCTTTTCCCACCTAGTTCTTTTTTGCCCTTGACATAGGCTCAAAGCAGTTCTTTATTCATTAACCAATAAAAGTAACACATAGACAGAAAGATCTCCCACACTATGGCCTCTATGTAAGAAATCCTCTTTCATTAAACAGCATGACATTTTTTTTAGAAAAGAATATAAGCATCTTTTAAGTTTTGAGACATAACTTCAAGATATGAAGTCCACTGGGTCTCTAATGAAGAACCTGGGCATCTGCTAAAGAACTTTCAGTTAGGGGAATAAGGTGGAAGATGGAAGTATATGTTCTTGGAATGTGTGAATGTGGTACCTGCTGCCTCAACATGAGCTCACTGTGTCTGGTGAAGGAAACAGACCCTGTGAAAGGAGGCCACTTGCTCACTTTGTGTGAGCCAGATTCACACCAAGACATGCTGGAGTCTCATGCTGGTTGGTATTTGTCATCTTGACACAAGATAGAAAGATATGGGAAGAGTGAATCTTATTGAGAAAATGCTTCAATCAGACTGGCCCATTGAGAAGCCTATAGTGCATTTTTTTTTTACTGATAATTGATGTGGGAGGGTCTAGCTAACTGTGGGCTGTGCTATCATGGAGAAGGTGGTTCTGGATGCAATAAGAAAACAGGCTAAGCAACCTATGAGGAACAAACCAGTAAGCAGTGTTCTTGCAAGGCTCCTGTTTCTGCTTTGAGTTCTTAGCCCTACTACACTCAAGGATGGACTGTGATGTAGAATTGGAAATGAGATAAACCCTTTCCTCACCAGAAAGATGGCCAAATGATAAAGAAGTGCAAAAAGATGGGGAAATTCCATGCACATCTATATTGTGGGGAGGCTGTTTGTTCCTGGCTGCCCAGAAGTGAAATAATCACACAGAAGCTGTATTAATTATAATATTGCTTGGCCTATCAGCTTATGCATCTTTCTAGATCACTCTTATCTCTTAAATTAACCCATTTCTATTATTTTATATTTTGCCACGAGGCTTATGGACTACCAGCAAGGTTCCAGATGGCAGTTTGTGTCTTTACATCTAGGTATTTGAAGACATAATAGATTGGTCTATATAACTAAATTTTAGGAATATTATTGGGAGCAACACAGCCAAGTATTTAGGGTCATATATACAAGCAAAAATATCCTTCATAAACAGTGCTGGAGCAACAGCATCTTGGGATGTCTGAGATTCCAGCCAAAAACTCTAACAAATATTCATTATGGTGATGAAGCAGCAAGCACCCCTGAGGAAGGGGCAGCAAAGAGATGAGTGACATTATGTCGATGGTCACCCATCTCTCTATGAAGCCTGCAGCATGAAAGAGACAAAACACAGTGGTTCTCTTGCTATGCTTCATGAAATACAATCTTCTCTGTAGCTCCAATTTCCCAGAGGCTGTATCAAGGTTCTCTGACTTCTATAGCCTGAATCTTCATCTTCTTGCCTTTAAAAATGGAGAATGCAATATATTCCTCCTCGTATCTTAAAGACTCTTGAAATGACTGTCAACGTACCTAAGCTGGTGATGCTTTTATCATGACCTTCTAGTCTCCAAGAGTTTCTTTGCTCCTTTTCAAATTAGTGGTTTGCATATTCACTATTTTACAATTGTGATAATGAAGACTGTACTTAGTGTGATGAAAAATTCTCTAAAAACCACAGTAAGGTATAAAAGCAATAATGGGACCTTCACAGCCAGGAATGCTTTGAAAGAATCATTGCATTCTGAGCCCTTTATAAGACTTGCAATATTAAGCAGTGAAATAGCACAGTCAGACTTGATCAGTATTGAAACAAGTCCCTCCCATTAATGACTTGCACAGAGTCCTGGCTCAAATAAACTTGTGGAAACCATGTAGAATCCAGATGTCCTGGAATGTATCGCAGAGTATATGGAGAGACACACAATGAAGACTGAATTCCTGGCCAGATATCTGCTATTAACTACATCCATCATCCCTGAAGAGAAAACTTCACTAGGGTAAAGTCAACACAAGGTCACAGAACACTAATCAGTCAGTATTCTACCCCCTTCTCTGAATGCCCTGGGCTATTGCCCTCAGGACATGAGCACATATGAAACATGTCCCTTAGGACATAAATATTCTGGAATTTTGAATGGCAGTTCTTCAAGTTAGGGGAAGGATTCTCTGCAGAAGTCCTGGGATTCATGCCCTGTGCTCTAAAGAGCTGATGCTGTTGGTAAGCAACAGAGCTGCTTTGAAGATGGAATAAGGAACAATTAACTGAGGGAATTTATGCTGAAGATAGTGTGCCCTTGGATGATGGTTCTCTGAACTCCTCCTCCTTCACATAGTACCTTATCCTGCCTGCCATGTGACCTTGGGCATAGAATGTGAAAAACAGGCAAAGAAATGAAGCACAATCAGTTAAGTGATAAGCTGGGTGTTTTGGGCTTTTAAACATTTATTAATTTGTGTGTGTGTGTGTGTGTGTGTGTGTGTGTGTGTGTGTGTGTGAAAGGACACCTTGAGAGAGTTAGTTCTTACTTTCTAGTATGTAGGACTCAGGTATTGAACTCGGGCTATTTATCTTGGCAGTGAATGCCTTCACTCTGAATCATCTCCCTAGCTTGACGTCTTAGCTTTGATATCTGATGCCTCTCTGCATTACTATCACTTTCATGAGGCCTCTTGCTTGGTAACAACTCTGTTCCTCTAGCATCTTCCATAAAGATGCTTATGACTCATTTACCCGACTCTCTGGTCATCCCTAGCTCTTGTTGATTGATTCGCTAGTGTCTTTTTGACTCTTAGCTCTTTTTACAGATGCAGCTTCAATCTACCATGTCCGATTAAAAAGCAATCATAACCTGACTCCTTACTTTACATAGTTGCAGGTGACAATGTTCTGTCCCCACTGTGACCACATGAATGGCCACATAGTAGATATTCTAAGCTGCCATGCTCCCAATGTCCAATTAAGTCAAAAGGTTCCAGTCAGCTGATACATGCTAGCTCTTATCATCAATTCGTATTTTTCCTTAAACTCCCAAAACAATACAGTAAGGTTTTTTTTTTCTCTCCAAATCACCCAAGAACTTGGTTATTATCCTTGAAGATGCCCCATTCACTTCATGTGTCCACATATCATCTTGGTGCCTTTAGGAGACTCTTTCAAACCCAATGTTCTCTCAACCCAACGTTTCTACCATCATACCTGATTCTTTTCAGACATTAGAAAGTCCAATTTTCCCCCAGGGAGCCCCAGTTCTATGAAAGTCTTCACCAGCCGTAGGTCTGCACTGTTCCCTGAAAATGACAGATGACCCCAGTTCTATAATTAATCATGTCACAAAGGATTTTTTTCTCACTATTTCTCACATTACAATTAGATTTTTTCCCTTCATTTGTGAGCAGATAACAGAAATAGCTGAAGTAACTCTCTATCCTCCCCTCTTGCTACCCCAGCCCATGCACACACAGAGGTGGGCCCTTTTAAATGGTCCTTTTTCAATGGGATTATTCCTAGACCTGCCCCATCAGCTTTCTTTCTTTCCCAGAACACTATTCTCTCAGCAACTTTTTGGAAGGAGCTACCTAGTAGCCAAGCTGGCACAGTGTGGCAGTCCCCTCTTAACTACTTGCTTATTATTTATAGATAACAGGAAGAGATGAATAATCAACTCTAGTTCAGTTGTATAAATAGAAGAATTACTCCTAAGCCAAGGAATAATGGACTAGTAAGTTTGCAAATGTCCAAGTGTATCATCAAGGGTCAAGGAATAAAAAGTTGGTAATTCTAGGAAGTTGCTAGTATGAGAGGCACAAACAGTAAATGGAATATTTTGTTGGCATAAAATGTCACATGGCAAGTGGATTTGTTATAACAGAATAAATTAGGCATACATTTCATTCTGCCCGTGGGCATTCTAGTGTATCTACATTAATTTGTGGCATGTTCCTCTCCTGGGTCCCTGTAGAGTTGAAAAGAAGTTGCAACCTATTTGGGTAATTTGGTAGCATACTTTTTCATGTAAATTAACCCCACAGGTCATGGTATCACAGAACTTCTATATTGTAAGTCAAGTAACAACTAATTTTATATCATTCTTTATGAATTCTCCCAATGATGCAAAGGTGTATTAACAAAAACGCATGATATTTGGAAGAATTCAAGATTAGAGACAAACCTCAATGTAAATATTCCTAGATGTTAATCATCCAGTAACCTATTATAGCACTTGCTCAAACTTGTAGGCTCAAGGTCATTGGTGGTCATGTTCTTTGAGGAGAGATACATGTTTTCTCTTAGAAAGTTAAATTTCATAACTTTGTTTATGTCAGCAGCTAAATATCCTCCAGATTCACTCATGTTATAGCCTAAATCTTCCTAATGACATTTTAGGAGTGGTCTTTTAAAAAGTTGATGCAATTTATATTTAACATGGAGTATTTAGGAATAAAATATCCTTCTCTACTCAGGATACTAACAGTAAAAAGTTTCTGGAACCTAAAGCTTTCAAAAATATTTTTATTTCATAATGTGTTAGACTGAGAACATTTATAACAAGATATGCTTTGAGCTTTTTGGCACAACAGAGAGCTTGTGTAACTATTCATAACTTGTCTTAATGTGCTCAGTTCTTAATATAATCATGCTATTAGACAGATTTGAATAAACAGATCCTATAAAACTCTGAAGAGGTTACACACATGTACCTTGAACTACAGAAGTAATATTCTGAAAGCTGTCTTTGTGATCACTTGCTTTTCTTTTGATCTGTGACCCAGGGGATGCGATCATAGGCAGCTCATCTCTCCAAATCAGTGCAATACAGGCAAATCGTCTGTACCTTTGTTACACAACTCTTTCTCAATTTGCATGAGATAACATAAAAACCCTATTATCAGACCAGAGTTCTTACTTTAAATATTTATTTTTTTATTTATGTGTATGTCTAGGTGAGTGATTGCCACAGATATCCAAGTAGTCTCAGAGAAGAGAGAAAGACATTAGATACCTTGGTTATAGAGTTTGTGAGCCATTCATCATAGATGCTGAGAACCAAAGTCAGGTCTGCTGGGAGAGCAGCAAGTGCTCTTAACCATTGAGCCATTTTTTGAACCCCCAGATTTCTTACATTGAAAAGAATTTTAGAATTTTCAAAATGAGATGTAGGAATCACTATTAGTGACATTGAGCAAATGAATGTCGTGGTGACTTTTATTTCTATTAATGCTAGATCATGGTAGTGTCTAATACATAAAAGGTTCTGCATAAGCGAGAGAGTAACAAAGTAAATAAGAAAATAGTTGCAATCACCAATCCAAGATCCTAAAAATGCATCATCTATTCCTTCCCCTCCATGTCTTCTTCTAGGACTATTTTATTCACTCATAAATTCCATCAACTCCAGCATTTCACTGAGGTATTCATTCTAGCAATACGTCCACTTCTTCAATCATTTACTCCAGTCTCTCTTTCATCCAGAATACTAATTCCATTGGTTATACAATTCATTTACCTATTCCATTTATTGGCAAAATTCACATCATTGAATTAATTAATTAATGAAATGTGTATGTATGTATGTATGTATGTATGTAACCTTTGCCATGCCATTTCCCTTGACAGCAATGTTTTCATGGTTGTTGTTTGGTTGTTTTTAGAGACATAAACTGAATGTTGTATAGTAATTTGAGAAAGAAACTTTTTTAGAACTTACCATCCAGGCCATGGACACAGACCACCAGGTGAATCCCATCTTCCAAGTTTTCCTCCTCTTCCTCTGGTGGGAAATATGGCATATCAGAAGCTAGTACAGATAAGTCACTGTACAGAAATCCTCCAATCTTCAGTTCTTTTTTAAACTTTTCTTTGGCCTGATAAAAACTGGAGAATATACCAATTAATCACAAGCCATGCTGTGTGTTCCATGTTGAGCAGGGAATGAGTGGGGCTGGTATGCAGGAGTGACTTGTATCCACAAACAAATTGTCTTCTGAGCATCCAATGCTAAATGAAACCTTGGGGGAAATGCTGGTGAGCAAAGAACCACAGAAAGAGCTTCACTCTGCAAATTTCTATTTTAGTCTTGCATTTAACAGGAGACTGGGTAAAGAGTTTTATAAAACGCTGTACAGCTATAGGACATGAACTTCTTTAAAGTTATCTCCTGAGAGATAACTTACCTGAGAGGGTAAGTTTCTTTTTTATCATACAAGCCCACCATGGTGTGGCTTTCATCTTCTTTTTAAGTACTAGATCCCCCATTCCCAACACCAATGCAGGTTTTGTGTTTCTTTGTTTTATTTTGGCTTATTTGCTGGCTTGACTTGGCTTGGCTTGGCTTGGTTTCTTTAGGCCTTGGTGTGTTCTGGATTCCAGAAATGACTTTTATACCCAGCTAAGATGTTATTTTTCTGGTCACTTGACAAGATGGTGGTTAACAACACTGGTTCACAGATAAGATTATGAAGGTTAGAATCTTGGTTTTATCATTTCTGATGATTATTGGTTATCTGAAATGCTTGAGACTAGAAGAGTTTCAGTTTTTAGTTGGGGTTGTTATTGCTGCTTTTAAGATTTAGGTATATATACATAAACGTACTGAGATAACCTGAGGATGGAACCATGTCTATACACAGAACTACGTTGTTTTCTATGTGGTCTAAGCACATTACCTGAGGTAAGGTATTTTCATAAAATAGTTTTATTATGTTGAACATAAAATAATTTCATGGTGCAAAATTCCCTACATGTGCTGTCACACCAGCCGTGAAAATATTTTAGATTCCAATAGCATGAAAATACAATTTAAATTTATATTTATTGTCTAATAAAGCAAGGCCCTAGTTTTGCTCTAGAGCAGTACAAAACAAAATAAAAACGTATGGATCTTAGATGATGTACACTTCTGGATTTTCAAGTCAGTGATGTTCTAGCATTAGCATTAGCAACCTCATTTACATCCCCTCTGTGAAGACAGTCTGTCCTCTAAAGTGTTTCTTCTGCCTGCTTTCTCTATATGTACAGATACTGCTTCTAGGGGAAAAAAACCCTTAGGTTCCGCTGGGCATGAAGAAATAATCACATTTGCCCAACACTATAGCCTTGGTTGTTATTCTTGTCTGCCTGGTTTTTCCTGCAGTTTGCTCAGGGATGATTCTGACCCAGCTTTTTGACTGTGTCTAGCTGGACTTCTTGAATTGGTGACAAGTGTCATAGGACTGTCACAAGTATTTTATGCTATTTATTAACAATATATCCAATGCTTACCTGCCTTAGCTTTTTCTTTATGTAAAAATCAGTAATTATTAGCAGTTGGCAAGAGAAGAATGAGTATGAGGTACTCTGACAAAATATTCCTATTACGTATCCAATAAAATCTATAGCTGACAATTGAAGGAAACAAAAAAGAATAGAGTGCGAGCCAATGATGAAGTTATATATTCTACTACCAAAAAGAGTGGTGGCTTCAAGAAGCCCACAATCTTAAAGGGAAACTGGGAGGAAATCTGGCAGAGTTCTATTCCCTCGAAGGTCCTAAAATCTCCTTTTTCAAAATATAAAAAGGTGAAGTCACAGTAGTGTTGTAAGAAAGTTGTATATCAAAATAAAACTGTAACAAAATTCCCATATCTACCCATTAAGAACCTGGTTAATAAGCTATGGTACATCCATACAATGGATTACTATGGAAACATTAAAATACTAAATGAAAATTAACTTATAGAGAAAGATGTTTCAAATATTTTAAGCAGGAAAAATGATTAAGAAGTGCCACAATAATCCTATTATTATTAAAAATGAATATATTTAAGGGACAAATATCTATATATAAAATATCTGTATAAAATTACGTCACATTATATTGGGCTTATTTGTAATTAATATTTTAATTACTTAGACATTCCGAATTGCATGACATGTACATTATTGCTCTATTTAAGGAATCAAAAACAACAAACACCTTCGTGTTTACATATATGCATGAGACTGAGAAAATCTGGGGAAAACTCAATGGCCTGTGAGCTATCCACAAGCTTACCTGAACATCCTTTCACTGACTTCATCTTCCAACTTGCTGGAGTGGGTCGAAACAACTCCGAAAGAACCCAAAGGTTGATGAGTGATGGGGGCTAGGCTTTGTTTAGAAGAGAGTCCGGCCCTAGCGGGGGTCTCCTTGGGTACAGATGAGAAAGGGAGACACGTGGCAGTGCAAGACACAGACAAGTTAACGACCTCCACTGCCTTTAGGCTGTCCAGAGTAAAGGCCTCTGCGGAGTTCAAGTGGGACCCAGAGATGGAAGTTCCTGCCTTCAGCTCTTGATTTCGTGACACTTGGGAGGCAATAGCGTGAGTCACAGTGGGGCACACAGTGCCGGCTTCATGTTTGACCTCCAGAGAGGCATTATGTCTTCTATTCAATGGCATGGCATCGTTGACACTTGATGAACCAGTTCGTACCCCTGTAGAGTTCAAGTTGCCAGCTTCAAGAGCAGCCACACTCCTAATTTCAGGCACCCTGTTGTGAGACACAGCCCTGGCTTCTAAGATGCTGTGGTTGGGGAGTATGTGTTTACCTCCACTTGATTCTTTAGGCTTGCCTTTTGTGGTCTCCACGACTGTTCTTTGAAAAGATCTGGTCCTAGAATTTTCAAGCACTATAGAACATGGTATTTTTAAGTTAAGACCTTTGGTTTCAACACTTGGTATGTCCCCAGCTGTGCTATCCAGACAGCAGGGTCCTTGAGGATCAGACTGATTCTCTTGACCTTTGGGGATGTCTATGTACCCAGGACCCTGGGCTCTGTCAGATTCTAAAGTTATATCTGCAAGAGAATGTCCTGCCCTGACATCCTGGACTCTGGAGTCACCAGAAGAATGAGAACTGTGTCCAGGTGAACTGTTGTCCTTGCTAGAACTGTCCAGGTCTTCAGAAAATCCTCCTGTGTGCTTCATGGTGTCTGTACCTTCAGCAGTATCCTCCGGGCTGCTGATCTGGGGTGCAGAGACAGACTTGGTTAGCTTAGTAAGTGCCAACTCGCGCTCCTCGTCTTCAAAAGGCAAAGAGCTGATAGAGGTAAGAGAAGCCTGGATGCCACTGGGCAGACTAGTGTTGCTTTCTGTATGGCCACCCTCTAAAGAGTTCCTGTGGTGGGCATGCCTTCGCACCACCTGGTGTAAAACTTCACGATCACTGGGTAACTCCAACACCCTGCTTCGGGCCTCGGACCAGGCAACAGAACTTGGTTCGCTTTCAATGCCTGAGTCAGATATGATGGAGGCTGACCTCTTGATGATGCCAGAGAGCGCTGACAGATCTTCCTGCTCTTCTGCATGGTCCTGCAGGGAAGACGCGGTGTCTGAAGGTTCCCTGTGCATGGTATTCAATGAGTCACAGGGCTCAGCAGGGGTGAGCTTCAGGCTCAGCAGTACAGGCTTTCCCTCCTGGTCTGCTCCCCTTCCTAGAGTCCTGAACTCAAGGGCAGCTGTTTCATTTAATGACACAGCATTATTCTGACTTGTTCCTGCTCCAGCTTTGTTTGGCAGAGTCTTAACAAGATCATAGCTGTCCTGAGAGCGCCTGGGCTCATGCTGCACATTAAGGCCCTGCATAGACTCAGCTTTAGGGTGGTTCTTATTGCTAGATTTTACATCAATGTAGGTCAATGCTGGAGTCTTCCCATCTTCCGGACCTGGACTCCTCCTATGGATGCCCCCATCTGATTCTCTCACAGCATCAGACCTTGGGCCAGTCCAGCATTCACCTTCAGGCATGACAGCTTTGTTTTGGAATTCACCAATGGTCAAATACACCTGAGATTCTGAGCATACATCCACAGGATTCTGTGTGGAGACATTCTCTTCCATTTCTGGACACCTAATAACATCCTCATCGGAGTTCAGTTGGGGTGCTTTTGTAGTAGATAATGGAAGGTCTTTCTTCAAAGTTGACTTTTGATTTATAAGATTCTTTTCTTTTCCTTTTAGATTCATTATTGCAGGACTTGTCACTGGGATATCAAAATTAGGATAAACCCTCAAATTATGTCCTAAAACAAAATAAGAAAATTGTATTGTAGCTTAAAATAAATATTATAAATTATTCAAATGCCTAATTGTATGAAAACAATTGAACAATCATGTACTACTACTTTTTGAAGGGGATGACCTTCAGAGTGTTTAAAGTTATCAAGTTATAGGAGAAACTTTCTTATTTAGAAGTATACAGATAGTTTATGCTAACCAAGTGACTCATATTAAAATCCCAAATAATTTGTTGGTGAGATAATCGAGGATATGGACATGACAAAACATGTGATTAGTGGGTGGGGCAAAAGCAAAGAAATATCCATCAGACCCCTGTGAAAGGATTGCACTTATGTGAGGCGAGTGGCTCGCACAATCTTGTCCACATAAGAAAACATCAATGCACAGCTAGGATCTTGTGACTCGGATGGGCTCCTCAGACTTATAGATTGACAACAAAGATGGATTCTCCAGGAGAAGAAAAAGTCTTAAGAGCACCATAACTTCTGACTAAGCTTCAACCTATAAATCCTCTCTCTCCCCCATCTCTCTTTCTGCCCCTCTGCTCTCAAACTTCCCTCCTCCATCTCCTGTTTTCATTTGGGGGGATATAGTTGTTTTTTATTTATAACAATAAAACTTTAATCATGGGCATCCTTTCCAAATTCTCTGAGTCATCCCAGAATATCGTTAAACATGGGTGAATTACATGAACCAAGAATTTGTAGCCAGTGACCTGAATTCATGTAGCAGTTTATACTCCTAGCAACTGTGGAGGCAAGCAAAGAGGAAAAGGGATCTTCAGAGGAGCAATGGGACAAATGAGGGCAGTGAGGAAAAGAAAGTCAACCATGATCCCTCCAAGAACATTTGGGCAACACAAATTGACTTGATGAATTTGGTGGGGGAGGGGGATTCTTAACAGAAGAGAAAGTCGGGTGGGTAGGGTAATAGGGAGGAGCTGGGGAGAGGGTAAATATGAAGAAAATATAGTATATGAAATATTTAAAAATTAGGGAAATGGGTATAAAATATAATAAAGAAATCCATTAACTCATATGTTAATTTAAAAATCAAAATATAAGATAAAGGCTTCATGTGGTTTTAATATAAGCTAAATCAATACAACTTCTCTTAAATGCTATCATGAATTAAGCCATACATATACTAATTACAAACCACATGAGGCTTTGATACATGATTCTCTAATAACATTTAGTGCAATTTGTAATTAGATTGAGGGAGGAATGAGTTCCCCCTTCACCTGGGTGTAACCAATGATAATAGGAAGCATTTGCTTTCCTCTGAAGACCTTCGTCAGCCTGAAGCAAGACCAGTATACTCTTTTGAAAATTCCCCAATGTCCCTCACACACACAGGTTGTGTTGTAAATCCTATCACCATGTGATGATCTAATTGTGAACTCTTGTTCCCATGAAAGTGACAGCTTGTGTCTTATCCCTGTAGCCTGAAGGCTGACATCCTGTGTGGTACATATTTGATGAACTGTGTTCCTGAAAGGGTCTAAGCCAAGAACAGGAATCTAGCAAAGTAAAAGTTGTTTGAACATAACTATCACAGTGATGCTTAGCTCCACCCAGGGCTATACTAGCATGACTAGGCATTGGGTTGGCAAGATGGCAAGTGGACATTTGCTATAAGGAGGCAGAGGCAGGCAGATCTCTGTGAGTTTGAGGCCAGCCTGGTCTACAGAGGGAGTTCCAGGACAGGATCCAAAGCTACACAGAGAAACCATGTCTCGAAAAAAAACAACAAAACGAAACAAACAAGCAAAAAACAGTAAATAAGTTTTTGCCTAGATGGAATTTTCAAAATATTGGGAAGCACTCAAAGGAACAGTTGTCTTGTTAAGAATTATGTGTGTATGAAAGAATCACATGCATAAAGACTTAAATTTATGCTCACTGGAATATTTAGAAATATCTGATATTAAAAAGACTGAGAAACAATCTGCACTCAATTCTGTTGTGCAAATATCAGAGGTTCTTATAATTGGTGCTTAGTTGCTTCAACTGTCGACTTTTTCTGGAAATTATATAAGAGGCATGCATTAATGAAAACACAAGCATATAAACACACATAAATATGCGCGCGCACGCATGCATACGTGTGTACATATGTTTAAAACTTACCATTTGGGTTGGAGATTTAGTATTGTTCAATACACTTCACTTGTCATACATTTACTTGACGCTAGGTGTCAGAGTACAGCTAGAAACCAAATCCATGTTTGCAAACTTGCTGTGTCCCTACACATCCCCTAGATTCCAGACTCTAAGTCTGCTGATGCAGTAGTTCTGAAATGTAGCCATTTTGATCCACTGTATAAAATGACAAACAAACTAGCCTGGCTTAAAGCACCTCAGGAAGCTAATAGAGCAGAGCCTGGACTCCGGAGTTGAGGAGTTGACTTTGGTTGCTCATTGATGCAGTCTTTCCCACATACTTCTCCTACCTATGCCTCAGTCTCCTTCTCTGAAGCTGTATAAATTATTTAAAGGATTAAATAAATAAACCACTTGGTTAAACCAACAACACAGGACTTGACATATTCTGGTAAAGGTGTTGGGGTTCTGTGGTCGAGTTATAGGGAGAACAGAAAGGGGACATTCATTTCTTCATGTCTGGTCATTCTGCAGTTGATCTCTGGGTTTACTGACAAACAGTATAGCCATGCTGAACACAGGTATACAAACAAGACGTATAACCTTGTTCCTTCTCTCCCTGAGATTTTTGTTCATGATGTCTCATAGTTTCACAGCCCATTTTTTTCAAGTCCTTGACCTGCCTTGAGGCATTCATTAAACAGGTTCTTGAATTACTGAGTGGGCATCTAGAATGACCTAGAAAAATCCTTTCTCAAGAAACCATTAACCAACCAACAAAACAACCTCAATCACCAACAACAGCACAGACCACGCACTAGCGCGGTGTCACTGAAGTTCAATAAGAAATGAATATACTGCCGGGCAGTGGTGGCGCACTCCTTTAATCCCAACACTTGGAAGGCAGAAGCAGGTGAATCTCTGTGAGTTCGAGGTCAGCCTGATCTACAAGAGCTAGTTCCAGGACAGGTTCCAAAGCTACAGAGAAACCCTGTCTTGAGAAAACAAAAAAAGAAAGAAAGAAAAGTAAGAAAGAAAGGAAGAAAGACAGAAATGAAATGAATATAGTTAAAATTGTACTCTTGAGAAAACAAAAGATCTTCCGCAGTCTTTAAGTTGTGTGTGTGTGTGTGTGTGTCTGTGTAGGTGTGTGTGTGTGTTTATGTATTTCTCATTATATAGGTAATTCAATAGGTGAAACCACAAGTGCCAAGGCCATTTTGATCGAGAAGGGGTCAGGTAAGCTAACTCTTCCTTCCCCTTTAAAGAGAAAATACAGCCTCAATTTGCTCATACTCTTGTGAACAGTGACCCACACACACGCAGATCTCCAATGGTACTGTCTGTTAATGCACTAGTACTTACATGAAAATCCTAATTCTTGAGTGTTTTTAAAACAACAGAGAAAGACCAACCTGAGACAGGGCAGTCCACATATCTGTCTTCAAAGATAACAGGCAGGGTGTTCCAGTCACCATCAATATCCAGGCACTCTGCGGGCAGTGGGGGCATGCTGGTGAGGTACTCTGAGTTCCGGATGTCCAGAGATAGCTGGCTGTGGGTCTGGATCCTGGGGGGGGGGGAGGTGCACAGAAGGTAATCAACCAAAAAGGGTTGGAAGTTTTCAGTAGTCTTACACCCAAAAAAAGCATTAACAATGATGTTAGCAGATGCAGGTAATGACCGTTTGCCTGTTCCATATAAGATGTCACTCAAAGTGACAAACAGTCTGCTTTGCTGAGGAACTGCTCCAGGAATTAGGGTTGGTGCAGTGGATTGTGCTACTGAGCTACTCCTACTGGTTAGTGGGAAGGGATTAGCATCATGGTACTGAAAGGCTAACTAAGAAAAGGTTACAGATCTAAAATATGTGCTTTGGAAGAGAAAGGCAAATTTACTCATATATTACTCCAGCATCTTTAACTTTTTAAACTACTTAGAGTCTGAGTTATATTTTGGTGCAGCTAAATGAAGAGCCACCTGAAGTACTTGTTACTATGTAGATACTGACAGTGTTTATTGGTGTGTAAGCTAATGAAATTCAGGCATCATATGTTTTGTTTCTCTATAAAGGAACGCTAAAAGCTTGTATTTATTCTTCCTGACCTAAACATCCTTCAACCAATAAATAATAATTTGATTTCAGAATCTGAAGCTATTACTACTTTACAAGTTTGAAGGGACATGCAACTTTACCTCTTCAGAATAGAGCAAATTCATGTTATCTCATGAAAGAAAAGATAAATAATGTTTTACAATTTTTGTGTATAAGAACTCAATCACTTTTCTCCAAGGAAAGAGAACTTATGGGATTGTAGGTTTAGGAGAAGACTGACCATGTGTCTGCGTGGCTGGCTGCCTGCTGCCCGCCTGTGTCTCCCTATGTAACAGGCTGTGTTCTAGACACACTCATCTCACTTCCCAGCCATGTAGACTATTTACCTCCATTAAATAAATGTGATGTGTAACTCTACACAGGCTCACAACAAATTCTCTAAGCATCACATCATCATCAACCATTGATGGAGGAGGGTTATATGTCTATTGTGTTACTTTCATTGGTTAATAAAGAGACTGCCTTGGCCCTTTGATAGGACAGAAAATTAGGTAGGCGGAGTAAACAGAACAGAATGCTGGGAAGAGGGCAGTGAGGAAGACACCATGGAGCCAGCCACCAGGTCAAACATGCTGAATCTTTCCCGGTAAGCCACCACCTCGTGGTGCTACACAGATTATTAGAAATGGGTCAATCAAGATGTGAGAGCTAGCCAGTAACTAACTCTCTACAGATAATGGGCCAGGTGGTGCTTAAATGAATACAATTTGTGTGTTGTTATTTACGGGGATAAGCTAGCCGTGCAGGAGCCGGGTGGGACGAAAAGTAGGCTTGCCCACAGCTCCTCACTACAAAACATGAGTTCAACACATACACATGTATGATTGATAGCATATATAAATTTCATATAAATATACATTTAAAATGTTCATTAAGGCAATACATATAAATTTATGGATTAAATTTGTCTGTCATATATTTTACATTTTTCTCATTTTCTACACAAAAATGGGTTATTTTTCTCTTATTCAAAGCTCTAGAGGTTGTTGTATCTTTATGCCTCTTTGAATATTTAATTACTTGGATATCTAAATATGATTTTGTTTCAGTCAGTTCTTCACTCCATCCCACCTTTGATCTCCTGAGTATGGAAAGGTGTAGCCAGAAGACATTGGCTTCTAAGCTGGTGATCTAGGCCTGCCAGATCCACCTTCAGGGTGAACAGCCACCATCTGACAGGCTGAGCACCTAGACAGAAGGTGAACGGACAGGGTACACATTTTCTTTTTCCTGAAACCAGGATATCTCTGTTTTCTCCTCTTATTTGACATCATGATTCCAGGTTCTCCAACTTTTGGACTTTGGGGCTCATAGCAGCACCCTTACCCTTCAGGTCTTCAGGCTGTTAGCCCTGAAACTGTTCCTCTGGTTCTAAGATCTTCAGACATGGCTGATCCACATCCTTAGCTTCTCTGGGTCTCTAGCTTCCATACAGTTTATAGTGGAGCTTATCAGCCCAAACCTGAAGCTCACTAATTCAGTTAAACTGGTTGGTCAACAAACCCCAAGGATCCTAATGTTTCTTCTTCTGCAGTGCGGGTATTACAAGTATTTGCCATAGCACCTTGTTTCCTACATAGAGACTGGGTATCTGAACTCGGGTCTTCAGGTTTGCATGGAAACCATTTTCCTAACTGAGACATCTCTCCAGGCCCAGAAGGGATGGTCCTATTAAATGTTAAATGGTGTTTTGTAGCTGCTACATGTAACTAATGACCACGAAAAGCGGAAGAATTCGTCTCTCCCACAGAAATGAGCTTCTTCATTGGTTAACACTTACTTAACATCAGTCTTACTTTTATATTTATGTATACATATTATATATATATATGTATATATTGAATACACACATAAATGTACAAAACAAAGAGATTATCAATTTGAGAGGTATCAAGGGGGAAATGAGAGTAGCTAGAGGAAGAAAGAAAAGAAGGAAAGTGATAAAATAGTAATTCGATTAAAATTAAAGTAAAACTATTATAATCATTAACACAGGAACTGTGAAAATTGAGGTGATATCTCAGCTTCCCCATTATAGAGGATGGCATAGCACTATGAATTTCTACAACATGCGTACAGTCATGTATTCCTCCTTCTCATGTAAAAGGCATTATTGAGACATGGGACAAACATAGAAGACAGCCAGCTACAAGCAGCCTTGCCATAAGCCGAGGCTAAATCTCATGTTAGTTTCGCAAATTGTTCTTGACGGTTGGCCAGTCATCTTCATGATAAACACACATTCTCAGACCCATATACACTGAGAAACATAGGTAAACACAAGTCCCCCAAGTCATACATTGTATCTCATCCTGTGCCATCCAGACATCATTTATAAAGATCGGCCCCAAATATCCATCCATTGATTTTACAGCCTACTGAAAGGTGGTGAAGATTCATCTATGACATGAAATCTCTTCCAGGCCAGACTATTATGACTTTTGAGAGATGAGATCACCTATGCCTCTGCATCCTGACACTCCATTATCAATCCTGATGTTCGGAAGCAGTTCTGTCTCCCATGTGAATCCGAATAGTGACTCGGCTGCCTAGCAAAAATGAGCAGATCTGTGTCTGGGCACATTTGCTTAGCCACAGGAAGTCCCTGCTCAATATCCTATCCAAAGACTCAATCTGTTGACAGCACTTATTCACCTTTCCTGTGATTTTCTCATTCTGTGGTGAAATTTCTTTCTGTGTTCTTGGTGACATGGTTTATTTTGACAAAAGTTCATTTCCTCTTGAGTTTATTTTCAGAGGCCATGAGAGTTATAGCAAGTGACAAGTAGTGTTCAGATGTCAAACCATCAGAGGCATGGCTATCTGATGGAGGATTAATTCTATCCAGACAAAATCTGTAGGACCTTCAACTCTGAATGTTGTTGATCACGATTGCTGAAATAGCTTGATGTCTCCCTAATACCTGCATTGTACTATGTAATCTTGTGTGATGTGTATATATATAATGTCATAATTGCATCTCAATCTATTGGGCACATAAATCTGTGAGTGATCAGGTAGATGATTTTACATTTAGTTTTGATATGTAGAATATATTCTGGGACATGTTTCATAACTGGATCTGTTGACATTCAAAAGCCTGCCTGTTCTTTTACTTACTGGATGGCTTCCCCCACCCTGTAAGACCTCCAGTGAGAAAATTCAGTCACATAGCCAGAAACCCAGGTTCCTCAGCCTAATCTTTGCTCGGCTACCTGAGATACAAAAGGAGCTAAACTCCCTACAACTATTTTCCATTTGGCAGGACGCGCAATCAGGAAAGGAGTCTTTCATGTGGATCACATTTGTGACCTTCAAAGACAAAGGGACATCCAAGCTCATTTGAGACTAAGTGCCCTAATTCTCCCACAGCTGATTTGGGAAAGTGCAACCTCAGCTGACCCTCAGCTCTAACCCTAAAGAAAAGCTATTATACCTCTACACCTACCTGTTTTTCCCTTTACATTTATCTATACCTTAGTTAACCAAAACATACCTAGAAATGTGGTACTGTGTATGAAGCCCCTTTAAAATTAAGAGCCTATTAAATCAACCTTTCTGCCTCATAGTGCTTCTGGGGCGTCTTCTTAGCCACGTCTCCCCCAGAACTATAAACTGCTGACTCTGTCACTTGGGACAGCCCCCATCTGCCTTATGACCCTGTGAAAAACATTAGGTTTGTAACCTTGCAATTACCAGGTTTTGTCTTTGTTTTTTGTGTATATAAACTGGAAACTTTGTAGAACGAAGGGAGGGAGGGCAGGAAAGAAGAAAAAGAACATGGTTTGAACAGCACAGGTGTTGACTCACCCCACACTTTTTAGACTAGAAATTTTCTAAGTCCTTTCACTATGCTGAGGGAACTGACCTGAACCTTGGCAGGGAGTCAGTAGAGCTGGACTCTGCTGCCTCCTGTTGGTTTGCTAGGACAAAAGTTTATTTCCTATTAAGCAGACTCTCTGTAGAAATTTATTCTCTACTTGATGCTTGTGTTGATATTGATGGTCAACTGAATACTTACAATATTGCCCAATCTATTTGCTGTATAAGAAATAATCTCCTAGAGAACTTCAACCTGATTCAGACCTCCACTCCTATGTGAAGTTGGCAGGGAGATCAAGACTAACAAACACATCAATAATCAGTATCAATTCCTGCTAAATTAGTAGATACTAATCATGACCATCACCATGTGGTCAACATGTCTATTTGCACAGAGGGATTTTGCCTGTTTGGTTCACCTCTGAATAGCTCACAATTGAAATACTATCTGGAGCACAGTCAATAATATGTACATACTTATAGAAAGAAGTAATCTCCTTTTATATCTAAAAACTAGCTAAGAGAGGTTGAGGAATGCTTGCTAGTTTAAGTAGAATGAAGAAGTTAAAACATGCAAATGGGACTTCAAATTCTAAGGTTCATTTTCAGGCTAATAATATACAAACTGAAATTAACATGAATCTGAATTATTTTGTAGTGCATAAGACACCATATGACCTGGTTCTTCCTGGCCCTTCTTTTTACTTTCCTATTTCCCTTCATCCAATACTCCTCAAATTCAGAAAATTACTGGAAGTACTTACTTGCCTAAAAGGCAGTTTTCACAGTCTGAGTCACTATAACCACAAATTGAGGTCAATTGTCACTTCCTTAATTTATTTTCTCTGTCACCACTTTGTCAAAATCAGTTCATGGCCCCCACACAATTTTATATAAAGGACAGTTATCGCTGGCTTATAGAAGCAAACTGTGTATGTCTCTTTTTAGTTTCATACTTCATGATAACTCATAAGTAACTTGAAACACCATTGTGGGGAATTACTAGGACAAAAATCAACAAATGCTATATAGTAAATGAACTGTGGTTAACCATTTATAAGAACACTAGCCATAGCTACAGTAATGAAACAGCTTGGTATTGGCATAAAAACAGAGAGGTTGACCAATGGAATCAAATCGAACACCCAGATCTTAATCCACACACCTATGAACACCTGATTTTTGACAAAAAAGCTAAAATTATACAATAGAAAAAAGAAAGCATATTTAAGAAATGATGCTGGCATACCTGGATGTCAATATGTAGAATAATGAAAATAGACCCATATCTATCCCCATGCACAAAACTCAAGTCCAAACAGATTAAAGACCTCGATATAAATCGGAATACACTGAACCTGATAGAAGAGAAAGTGGGAAGCAGCCTTCAATGCATGGGCATAGGAGACCACTTCCTAAATATAACTCCAGTAGCACATACACTGAGGGCAACAATAAATAAATGGGACCTCCTGAAACTGGAAAGCTTCTGTAAAGCAAAGGACAGAGTCAATAAGACAAAAAGGCAACCTACTAAATGGGAAAAGATCTTCACCAACCCCACATTAGACAAAAAAATATATAAAGAACTTAAGAAATTAGACATCAAAATTCCAAATAACCCAACTAAGAAATGGGGTACAGAACTAAACAAAGAATTCTCAACAGAAGAATATCAAATGGCCAAAAGACACTTAAGAAAATGTTCAGCATCCTTAGCCTTCAGAGAAATGCAAGTCAAAACAACTCTGAGATACCATCTTTACCCCAGTGAGTGGAAAAGGGAGAGCAGAAGGGGAAGAGGAGAGAGGGGAAGGAGTGAGGAGAACTTAAGGGAACAGGACAGCCATGATGGAGGAAGGACAGAGATGAGAGCCAGAAAAGAGATATCTTGATTGAGGGAGCCAATATGGGGTTAGCAAGAAACCTGGTTCTAGAGAAATTCCCAAGAATCCACAAGGATGACCCCAGCTAAGACCCTAAGCAATAGCGGGGAGGGTCCCTGGACTGGCCTTGCCTTGTAGTCAGACTGATGAATATCTTAAATATCACCATAGACCCTTCATCCAGCAACTGATGGAAACAAAGGCAGAGACCTGCATCAGAGCACTGGGCTTGTTTCAAAAGTCCAGCTGAAGAGTGGGAGGAGTGAGAATATGAGCAAAGAGGTCAAGACCATGATGAGTACACCCACTGAAACAGTCTGCCTGAGCTAACGGGAGCTCACCAACACTAACTGGACTAAGAAGGAACAAACATAGAACAAAACTAGTCCCTCTGAATGTGGTCAACAGTTGCTTGACTGGGGAAGACAGACGGGCAGTGGCACCAGGATTTATCCCTACTGCTTGTACTGGCTTTCTGGGAACCTAGTCTCTTTGGATGATATCTTGCTTAGCATATATATAGTAGGGAGGGCCTTGGACCTTCCACAAAGCAATGTGCCTTACCCTCTCTGGGGAGTGGATGGGGGGTGAGGTGGGAGGGTAGGTGAAGGGAATGGGAGAAGGGAAGGGAATGAAAACCTGGATTGGTTTTTACAATGAAAACAGTTTTTTTAATAAAATAAAAATTAAATTTTCATTAAAAAGAATACTAGCCATACCCTTTCTCATTTCTTATACCCTTATTTTTTCTTGCTTATTTTTTTATACTTGTGACTACCCGAATGACTTAATTTATAAGCTACCTATCTGTTAGCATGGGAAATCTAAAAGACAGCATTCTTTACCTCATCTACTGACCACAAGACAATTAATGTTTACTAATCAACCACAATCTACATTTCCATCACCATTTACACTGGAGGATTTGTAGTTTGCACTCCGTGTACCATGTGTGGATGTTCCCACTTTCTCCTTTCATCTCTTACTTTTGACCATTTTGTTGTGAAGGAAACCATACCTGGAAGTTTCTCTACCACCCACCAGTTACTGAATAACCACTCTGAGGCTTAATATTAATTACAAACTGTTTGGCCAGTGGCTCAGGCTTATTTCTAACTAGTTTTTACATCTTAAACTAAACCATTTCTATTAATCTATGTACTGGCATATGATCATGTTATTGCCTCACATCTTGCTTCCCCGGCAGCTGCTGGTGTCTCCCTGATTTCATCCTTTTTCTCCCTGTCTCTTTGCTTGGATATCCCTTCTGGCTCTATTCTGCCTGGCTGTTGTCCAAATCAGATTCTTTATTAACTAATGGTAAAAAAACATATTCACAGCATACAGAAGGGCATCCCGTATTAGGAAACTAAGAGCAGTACATCGATCTCCTTTCATGATGCTGTGATAAAAGCAACTTAAGGGGAAAGGAATTTATTTGGATCACACTTCCAGATTATAATCCTTCATTGCAGAAAGTCCCAGGAGATGAAAGCTGCTGGACCATCAAAGTTGAGATCAAGGCATAAAAGATGCGTCCTACACTCAGTTTGCTTTCTCTACTTTTATATAATCCAAGATGCCCTGCCCAGGAAATGGTGTCACCTACAGTCGGCGTGTCTTCCCACTTCCACCATTTTGATCAGGACAATCTCCATAGACATTTCCTTAGGCCAACCTAATCTGGACCATCTGATTTTAGTTTTCCCTTCCTGGGTAATGCTAAATTTTGTAAAATTGACAAAAACAACTAGCTCCAGTTAAGATTAAATTGACAACAGAAGAAAACTCACTCATTGCACATCACTTGACACCTTGTGTTATGTGCACTTTGTATAGGTGTCTAGAGGCTGCCATTCCAACCAAACTGTGCATGAAGAGTGTGATGGTTAATTTTCAATGTCAAATCAACCAGATTTAGAATCACCTAGGAGAAAAACCTCTGGGTATGTCTGCGAGTATTTTTCCAAAATGTAACTGAGAAGGAGAGATCCACTTTGAATGTGGTACCATCAAAAGGGTGGGGTCCCAGAGGGAATACTATGGGTATAAAGAGGAAGTGATCTGAGGACGTTTTTTGATCTGTTTGACTTAGATGCCATGTGATCAGCCATGACTTCCTGCCATGATGACCCTTCAAATTGTGGACCACTCTTCTTTAAGTAGATGTTCTTTAGTATTTTAATCAAGTAATAAGAAAATTAATAAATATAGAGAGCCACGACCCGTGGGACTTTCACTTCCACATATGTTCATACTCCCTAAACAAAAAAGTTCACACAACATAACGCAAACACCAAGGGTTTCCTTTTGATAAGAGATGAGGTTTCTTAGGTTTGCTGGGGAATATAGATGGAGACCTAACCAAGATCTTTTGGCCACCAATATTTTGTTTTGAATGATCTGTTTAAAAAAATAATGGTAAGGGAAGTCTTGTTTGAGAGGCCACAGCACATCTACCAGAAGAAGCTGGGGAAGACTTACAGGAATGTCATAGGTTTTTTGTTTGTTTGTTTGTTTGTTTGTTTGTTTGTTTTTCTGTTGTCCTGAGTTTCTGTATTTTGCTCAGTGTCCCTCAAAGTTATATTTAAATTTAACAGATTTATACTTCCAATGCTAGTTTTAGAATTAGTCAGCCAGTTCTAGCCTAAGGCTGAAATGAATGAATAAATGATTGCATGCGTTGATGTGCTTGCTGAAGACTCTAATGGTGTCCAAACAAACTGTTTCACAGCAGATTCATGTTCCTTTCTATCCCACTCACTTTCATCACCTAAGAGCAACCACTAAATGTCACTGTAGTTTGCATACAGATAAAACCTGTGGAGGAAACAGGATTGTATATACAAAGAAGAAAGATTTCTGCATCATTCTTAAGCAACTTGAAAACTCCCCCATCCTCTTCTGGTAGATGTGCTGTGGTCTCTCAAACGTGATTCCTCTTGCCATGATTTTTTGAACAGATTATACCAAACAAAATATTGGTGTCCAAGAGATCTTGGTGATTCTTCACCCATCTTCCTCAGAGAACCTGAGAAGCCTCATCTCTCATCAGCACTCACACTTTCCTGATACTTTTCAATGCTTTCTGGAAGAAGGCAATCTTAGAAAGGCAACGTTCCTTCTGATTGGAGATCTTGGGCTTAATTACTATGGTAAATATATGTTTTAGCTACTGCATCATTGGGCTTTGTTGGCATTGCATGTGGCCCTACCACCTGCTTCTATTCATTTTGCAGAGGACTGAGCACAGATGTCTGCAGAGACCTAGGGAGCCTAGATTTTTCTCTATAGAACATAATGGCAAGCAACAAAAGAAACCTTTGGCTATCGACCTTCCCTGCCACCTGCAGCTTCTGTCTCCCCAGTATGTATACTTCCTTTGCCTGCACAGAATTGTAGACAGTGTGTGCAGAAGGGAGCAGAGTGTCTGTTTCACAGCAAGAGATGAAAGGAAAGGGATGTGGGAACAAAGCAAGAGAGCTGAATGCCTTGGGGTGGCCACTTTAACAGGGTGAAGTGGGTGTGCAATTTATTACTTACAGGTTTTCCTGAAAGGTCAAGACTGCAAGTTTTTGGTGCTCCATATAAAAGAAAGCTTCAGAAAACCTCCGAACCTGAGGGATGACAATATAAACAGCTTAATTCCTCAAGTGGATGTGACCTCCATTTTCTCAGCTTGAGAGTCTGGAGATTAAGGGTTGTGTTTTAATGGAAAGAAATACAACAGGGGTCTGAAATAAGAGGTTTTCCACCCTCCACAGCTGCCCATATGTCTTTACAGCTCTTAGCCCAGACAGTGTGGTGTATCTTTATAAACTCATTCATGTTCTGCTTTCATTTTTTATATTCAAGTTTTATTCTTTCTACTAGAATACTAGTTTTTCCAAATGGGCATTATAAATAATGGAGAATTACAAAAGCCAGCAGCATTTGCTATGTGCTTTGTGGACTCTGATTCTCAGATACTTATTTCTCTTGCCCAGAGTGAGAAGATCCACATTAGTCCATATATGCATGCCTATACATTTACAGCAAGGATGAGGGCAACACCTTACAAATGACACACTTGTAATAGTTAATTTTATAAGCTCAGCTATCATAAGACATAGATGAGGGAGATGTTTTATGAATGCTAGAATAGGGCTGGATAGCTAAGTGAGTTTTTGATATCACAATGCTCACTCACAGTTGAGCGGGACTAGTGTTGAAACTGACAAATTGGCGCAAAGCCAAGTCATGTTCCTTTCAATGAACCAAGTCTTGCAAAATTTCTCCTCAACTATAAATGCATGTAAATGGAGAGTTTAAAGAATTTTAGAATTTTACCCTCAGAGTGTGGTGTTCTTGGGTAAGGTAAGTGGTCACTTGGGAGTGCAGAGTCACTGTGTCCAGGAATTGGGTCCACAGAGCCATCAGGTGGGAGGCCAACCAGGCAAGATCCTTGCTGATCTGCTCAGCTATCTTCTCTGGGTTGTTGAGCATCTGCAGGGGTAAAAGAGTGTCCGTCAAAGACCTAGCTCTCTTGTGTTGCTCCAGCCCTCCCGCTCGGGACCTTTACCGGATGTTCTTCCCTGCTATCCTTTGCCTCACGTGCTGTAACAATGTGGTATTGTAGTGTGTATCTCATACTACATAATGTATCTCATACTATATAATGTAGAATTGGGTTATCCTGTCCCTTTGAGTGTGGGAGTTAAGAGAGGCAGCAATGAGAAGAATAAATTACTTGGAAGTTCTCGTTTATAGATTAACATTCCAAGCCCACAGTCTCATGCAAGATACCCTATAACTATCCCAAGCCTATGTCTTCCTTCTTCATGCATATTTTAAGTGTGGGTTACTTCTAGATTTCCAGAAATGTCTTGTCTAGTATATTATAATATAGTATAAATAGTTGTCAGCCATTTTCAACTCTTTACCCTAAACTTCCTATCCAATTCCTTCAGAACTCAATTTCCCAAATATTAGCATCTTAGACTGGGATTCCTTCAGCATGCACTATTATACCACAGGGAAATCAGCCACAGTATCCTCCCATAGACCCACACATCCAAAGCAGAGATTCTTGCACTGGAATCTACTCTGTATTTCATTAAACTCTGAACTCAGTGTAAACTCTGAACTCACTGTTTTATAAACACAATGTCTCCCATTTACTAATACTGATTACTTTGCAGGTGGAGGACCAGACATTTTGTACAGGCTTCCCACTCAATCCATACAATCATCTTGTAGGTAGAGGAGTAAAACCATCCTTTCATGTAAAGTAAAATAATAGTGATTTATTAGAGTGTCCAATTTTCACCCAGCTAGGATTTAACTCAAGAACTCTCTACCCACGATACCACATGCTCTTCCTCACTAGGTATTTTGCAGTATCTCAGTAGATAAGGTACTACTTATAGTCCCAGAGTACTTAACTAGCCTAGTCACTAGACATCATCATCTCCTTAACCATCACTAACCACTTCTTAAGGAAGACTCCAGGCTACCTTAATTACAATATAAGTCAGTCAGACTACAGTGCGGCCTGGAGTGTTTGAGGAAGACTCTTTTGATGAGAATATGTTGGACAGGTAGCTGGTTTCTAATGGGGAGGACTATATTCTAAAGGGAAAACTTGAATTACTAGGAGGTGAGAAGATCAAATGCTCCTCTGAGGAGTAACAAGAAGCCTGTCCAGGGTCTCACCAATACACAACAATTAATGAGCACCCTCTTTGTCTTGCTAACATGTCTGGTGAAAGCAGCACCCATGCTGAGGAAGAGAGGGCCTCCATAATGACAGAGATAGGAATGCACACCGGCAGGTACCAGGCTTTCCAAAGCCACACCATTCAAATCCAGTCTCTTTCTCCCCTTTACCTGTGCTCCAGTTTCCTCGCTGAAGGAGCAAAGCAAACAGCTGTTTCCAGATACAGTGTTGTAATTGTTGTGGGACTGAGGTTTGATTCTGGATGAAGGCAGAGCAGGTGAAAGGAGGTATCTAAGAGTAAGGGAGCAGCAAAGAGATGTGTGCTGGACAGTGAAGCTCCGAACACATGGAGATTCTTGCTTTATTATGAGGACTAACTTCCAAATGCAAGACTCCAGTTAAATACAGCATCTTCTAAGAGGTGCATTCACCTTTGATGACCATTGACATTGGTGGCTCAGTCCCATACAGCATCATGAAAGGTCAGAGAAATAGGAGGTAGTGGCAGGGGTGTTGACCTCAGGAATAGGCTGCATCGCTGGGAAAACTCTAGACTGGAAAGTGGGGCTTGTGAATTCAAACCAAGTAGCTCATAGTTGGATTCCTCTACCAGAATCTTCAATAATGACAGCCAATATACTACACCAATATTCAGCACTGTTCTGCCCCTGGAAATAATCTGTGCCTTATCCAAGGTCACCATGCCTCTTATCCAATGTACAATAATTATCCCAGCCATGATGACCTACTATAGCAGCATGCTATATCTGTCTATTTGCAATACCAGACCATTGTTCAGGCAACATCCTCTCTTTAAAATGGCTTGTCCTCTTCTGATTCCCTCTCCTATCCTCTTCATCACTTTGGTATGGTCTATCATCAATGTGGGAATGACTTGGGGGTCAATTCTATTTTCCCTTATTTCTAATGACACTATGCAATCCATCGAAAACTCTCCTTTATCTTGACCTCTTCTTGAACCGGTGTTCTTGACCATACAGTCCTTCCTCATGATCCCTCTTATAAGTGTGGCTTGCTTTCTTGCCACGTCTCAATTTGTCTGTATTGGGAGCTTGACCTCTAAGTATCCCTACTTCCAGTACAGTAGCAATGGATAATCTGAGCTCAGCAACCCTCTACTTTAGAAATATATGGATGAGCACCTTGAGAGATGCTCTGTGCCTCCAGCATGTTGCCTTGCCTTGCTTGGCTTCTGATTCTGCACTCCAAACATCCCACACCACCACAGTGGCACTGACAGACACAGCATCAACTCTGAGCTCAACTACCAGAGGTACAAAGGGGAAAAAAAGAAGGATATTCATTGAACGAGTCTTTGGGAGAATTGTTCCTCCCTAGTTGATTATAGAAACACTTTCAGAGGAGGTTACAGAAGTTTCTAATTAAGCCACAGGAGGACTTCTCTGTCATCACCGACACAGGGACCTATGTAATTACACACAAGTGTGGGTGGCTTTCTGTAGCAAGTGAAGGAGGGGGGCCTTACCTGCTAACAAGCCAGCAATCTTGGGCCACTGCTATCACAGGTGAAGTCTCTGGAGCGAGGCTCACATACCTACCTTGACCATTCCCAAAGCCGTGATCATCTGGGCTCTGGGCACATTCATCCCTCTAAAGCCCTTTCTCTGTTTATTCCATTCTCATTTTAGGCTACAGGGTGTGCTACATTTTAAAAAGCCAAATATAAATACACGCAAATACAAGTACACCCGGGAATAAACATTCCATTCCCTTATAACTACATATTTGGCTATAACACACCTACAGAGTACTGGAAAGGGTATGTATTCTAGATGTCATGTAGTGGCCATGGAAACTTGCAGAAGAAGTGATATATTCTGCCTTCCAGGTGATCAGGCTTCTTCCTGCTTCCTGGATCAACCAGGCTCTTTCAGATGCTTCTCCATCTCAGCTGCACATGACAGCCACTGGAGGCTAAGGTCTATCCATGTATCCACAGAGGACTGCATCCATCTTAAACTCTCTGAGGTGCAGTCCAGATACTAGAACTTGTCAAATGCTTCACAGATCATCCTAATGGACACCTTGCTCCTAAATCTCTTGCCTGACTGAGACCTCTGCCTTTGCTCATATATAAAGCGAACCTCAGAATTTCATTTGTTAAATGTTTTGTTCCCAGTTCGTACCAATGCTTTGAGAAGGGAATGGGAACATGGCTTCTGTGGTAGAACCCAGCTGGAAAAAATAGACCACCAGGAGCACTGGGGTTTAGTTTTGTCCCCAGGAGTTGCTGAGACACCTGGAGTGTAAGAAGCCTACTGCATCTGATGGACAGAAGAAAGGACATGCTTGTGTGGCATTGTCATCCTTGCTAGGCAATCAGACCTTCCTTCTGTGGGTGACCAATACCACGAGAGCTTAAATAAGGTCAATGTCCAGACAGTGTGGATGGCTGCATGAGACGTTCTGTGGTGCAAAGGGAGATACACAAAGTCTCTGCCACACAGGGGCATGCAGGCACAAGAGAGACCCAGAAACACAGCAACCCTGTGCTGCCCCGCCACCCCCGGCAGCCTCTCTATAATGAGAGTTCATATGTACCTATGAAGTGCTAGTGCTGGCCTCCCAAGGGATTGGCTAGACAAGAGCAGAAGAAATAACAACCATAGCAAGCATAGAGACAGAAGTTCTAAAGTTACTCCCAACTGAATCTTCCTCTCATCATTTCAAAATGAGTTGAATGGTGTGTGTGTGTGTGTGTGTGTGTGTGTGTGTGTGTGTGGTCATTACGGGGCTCTAACCTAATATATTCTCTGCCTCCTTGAACTTAAGGTAAGCTCCTCCATAGCAGGGACTTGAGAAGTCATCTTGCTCACCTGGCCCATCTAGACCAGGGCATCCTGTCAGACAATCAGCCTTCTAAGGTTGCTTTCTGGCTGGAAGCAAGGTACTTCCAAACCCACTGTGACGGTTAACATCAATTGTCAACTTGGTGACATCACCTTGGACACTAGCCTCTGGATTTGCCTGTCAGGGATAATCCTGATTCTGTAAACTGAGGTAGAAAGACACCCACCCACTGTGGGCAGCACCATTCCCTGGGCTAGGATCCTAGACTGTATGAAAGGAGACAGACAGTGAGCTCGTAACCAGTGTCCATTGGCCTCTGCCTCTGTTGTGACTTCCCACAGTGATGATCAACTTCCTGAAGACGCAGAGCACAGTAAACACTTTCTCCTAAAAGTTGTTCTTGGTGGGACGATTTATTAGAGTAACAGGAAAACAGCCAAGACTCGCCTCTGACAAGAGGTCTGGCTGACACAGACAAGACAAAACCCAAGTCTCACGTTCTTGCTGTGTCCTTTCTTTGGATATTTCCCAATGGAAAAGGGCAGCTCCAGGAACAACCACCAGATAATTGAGTAATTCCCCAAAGTTCATGGGGTAAATAGCAGATAGTCTTTTATATCTTTGAAAAAAAAACTTACATTGCTAATCCAAAATAACAAAACCTAACCTAACGAGACTTACTTTTCAATGCTGCTCAGCAAACCCAAGGAGACCCTGTAGAGCCTTAGTAAGGAGCAAGCTACCCTGTTTAATTAATTTGTAATGGGAAGACTCTCAGCATCTCCCCAGCAGGGGCCCCAACCCAGATTTCCAGTCTACTATTTATATCTAGGTTTCATGGTCTCCATGCTGCAGTGAAGCTGGCCACACACACATGCTCATGATCGTGTGTGACATGGGTTTCCCACTCACACTGCCGTTACTTCCCTCCCAGGTGTCTGACACCTTCTTCCCTGTTCCTTGTTGGCACCTTCATTTCCCAGACAGAGCCAAGACCTCCTCTCCTCCCTGCTCTGCTATCCACTGCTTCCACTCCCTGACTATTGCTCTGGTCATATGGGCAGAGTCTGACTTATCACAGAGCAAACCAATGTCTCGTTAAGTTGTAAGTGCTGGGCGGTCTCCTCCTTGATTGTATGTATAGAGAGAACATCTGAGTGGCCAGTGACCAGCACCAAACAGTTTCTCACACCAAGTAAAGATGCCTCGGGAGCACTCTCCTGCTAGAGACCTCTAGGTTTTTCCAGTGCCTAAATCACCTGAAACCATCCAACTCTTCACCACCAGCAATAGAAAGCCTTGAGAAAAATACATTCGCTGCTGCTCAACATTTGCCAGCAGGTGGCGCTGTTTCATCTCTAACCAAATTCCAGCTATGATTTGGGAGGGTTTTTGAGTATCCAGCAATATTTCCACCACTCAAGCTACAGGCCAGTCATTCCATTAAGCAAACTGAGGAGCAATAAGGTTCATCCCCTTCCCATTGATACCTTACACTCCATCAATTCTTAGAGTTTCTTACAAAATAAAATTCTTCAATAAAATGCGGTTACAAAGTAAATCCTGTTTCAGCAAAAAGAACTACAGAATTCAATGAGACACACAAGTGTGTGCATGCACATACACACATGCACACAAACACACATACACGTATAGGACATGAAAGGACGATAGGAACTTGGAAAGAAGAGCTTCAGTCAGAGAAGGAAGGAGACATAAAAGAGGAGAGTAGAGGATAAAATGAAAAATACAATTACTTATATGCACATATGACACTGTCAGAGAATTTATAAAGTAGAATCACGACAACCTTCCTACAGTCTGACTCTTCAGCAAGGGATGGAGGTAAGCAGTACGTCCCTTGGGAACTGTGTCTGATGAAGTTACTGACAGCTCTGTCCTCCAAACCTCTCACCTAAACCACTGCAGTCACCAGAGGTGACAAAATTGTCCAAGACAAACGTTCCAGGGACTGAGGCCATGATGTTCACTATTACCAAGTAGAGGTTGCCATTGAACCCTGTCCCGTTTGGTAATCTCATCCAACGGCTGCAATTTGCTCAGAAACATTAAGGCATCCCCAATTCTTAGTGTCTACTTGTCACTGTGAGTATGTGTGAGCATCTCCTTTCCTACCCTGGATGCTGCTCTGTGAGCCTCACTGCTGTAACTGCGGATAAACCCTAGCCACACTTTTTATCTTAGTTTTCTCCTGGAGAGCACAAGGTGCATTTTAGGCTTCAGTTCCTGGCAAGGACCGCCTTAACCCCCTGGAAACTCCCTAGAGATGGGAGGGTGCGCGGCTTTATCATGTTTTGCCTTACTGGAGAAAGGTAACTATGTGATAATTTTCTTGAAGCCCTAGATCTGCTTCTAATGTATAGAAACCTTCAAAGTTGGGAATTTAAGATCTCACAGGCTGGTGAATGTACCCCACCTGTCTGAAGTTGGTACAGGTAAACTCAAGAAAAAGAAAGTCCACTCTTGGCCTCCTTTTCAGACTTTGGCCTATGTATCATTCATCTAGATGTTAACCAATGCCCTTTGTAATGTCCTTTGTAATGTCCTTTATGTTAGACTGGTAATGATTAGAAAAGTATTTCCCGAGTTTTCTAAGTCATTAAATGAAATTATCTAAATTGAAAAAGTTAGGATTGCCACATCTATTTGGTAACTCACTGGTCAAAGTAGGAGAGTCCCAGAAACGGTATCTGAAGAGTGGCAATGTTGCAAGACTGGCTCTTTAACTGTGGGACCCGATTCTGACTCTAGGCAAACACGGCTAGAATTAAACTACACGGTTGGGCATGCAGTTAGCATAAAAGAATTGATGGAGATGAGACAATTCCTCACGCATGGATGTTGGAAGTTCTTCTACATGGGCCCCAAAGATTGTGCCTTCCTCCTCCTCCATGACTCCTAGTGACTTGGAGAATTCATCCTGGCTCCATGGTGAACGGGGCAGTAAGGCGTCTTGATCATTAGTCTCAGCTCCCTCCCTGGGATTTCGGTCACCGACACCCCCCCCCCCCCCCCCCGCAGAGATCACACTTCTCCCTCCTGTAGCCCTGCACCAAGGATCCTCCCACTTCCAAGCTCCATCACTGCCCCAGTGCAAAAGCACAAGGCTTTGCTAGTAATTCACTTCTTGATTTCAAAGCAGCTTCTTCATTAGAGCCCACTGAGATTTTCCTCCTGAAAAGAATTACTGACACTACTTGGGATCCTGCCACCACGTACAGCATCTCTGTCCAGATATTATTTCATTCATGGGCTATTCATCAGTGAAAGCCCAAGAGTGAATAGACTCCTCCCCTCACCTTGTGCTCCAGAGGAAGGGATCACCACTAAGTCCCCAGGGCTGACACAGGAGCTCACAAGTCATGGAAACCTTAAAATGCTGACTGAAACGAATCAAACTTTACCTGGTCAACAGGTGTCATAGTTCCCAAGGAACAGTAATTACCTGTAACTCTGAGCACAGCTGAGAAAGGGTTTCTTCCACAGCAAGGGCCTCTAGGAAGGAAGAACAAAGAGCACACAATTAAACAGACCCCGTTTAAATGCTGCACTTGCTAACCAAAGGAAAAGGCCTACATTTCATGCTCTACATAGTGAAGTCAGAGAGAAACAAAGGCAGCTCCAGAGGACTCTGCGAATCAGAATTTGAAGAGAATCAGCCTCATTTGACACCGTGGATTGCGCACAAGAGGAAACCGACTGCGGACTACCGAGTGGAATTATAGTTAAAATCGACCCCTAAGTGTGCCTAGCATTTTGTTTGCCCTAAGTGAGTCTACATTTATGTATGCTTTTCCAGATGCATCCACACACATGTACATGCACACCACACCCACCTACCCACCCACAGAGAGAGAGACAGAAACAGAGAGAGACAGATACAGAGAGAAGCTTTCACAAACATATATTTTGTTACAGAGAATATGGATTTGTGTCTCCATCATGGAGCTGAAAAGTCAAAAGCCCAAGGAAGATGAGTGACATATGTGAGTGGACTCCAGGCTCCAGGGACCATGAGACGAACGAGTACAATAACCATCCAAGCCACCCACAGAGCGGCCCACAAGGCACTAGCTTTTGGGCCTGAACAAGCAGCCTCCAGCTATTTGTGATTTAATGGCCAGGGTTTTGACAGGGTTTGAACTCTCTCCTAGCTCCCCAATGCCAAAGTGCTATCTCATGCATGTCCTTGTACTGTCTAGGGCAACTTGAGAAACCCCTTAGCATCTCTGCATTCCGTTGACCTTCCTACCTGACTGGTGACCTCCGATTCATGGCTCGCCAGTACAATAGACTTTGTTTCTCTTGAACAAGGCAATATTCTAAGTGTCGAGCACGACACCCCACGTGCAGAAGATGCTCAACGAAAATGTGTTGAAAAATATTTGAGTGAATAAATAACTTTGGTTCTTTTAGGTAACAGAAATTTCGATGACTAATTCCTGCTGAATAAAATCTAGTTTCTTTTGAGGCATGTAAGGAGCTCTGGTTCTGCACTGTCCTTTCGCATTGTTTATGTGGAACTGGATGCCAACTTAAGGATTAACATATGCAAAGCAAGTGCTCTCTGAAGAGTCACCGCCCGAGTCTCCTGTGTCTGTCTGTACAGCCTGTACAAGACTGGCTTCTGAAAGCATCCAAGTCGAAGGATACTTGATTCAAAGATCTTGGCACTGGCTTGATCAGCTATCCTGGCTGATGACACTAGATAACAAGAGTTCCTGAAATCCAATGTAAGCACCACAAACACTCCTTTGCTTTGTAGACTAGAGACAGAGTCTAAGGAATCTGAGGGGAATCCAGCTATCACCAACTCCATAGTCGGATGGTAAAGAAAAACTGGTAAATGTAACATTGTCATGCAACTTTCTCATAAAACACAGGCCACAGACACTACCAAATGAGATGGTTCTCACAGAAGTTGGTATCCAGAGGAACAAACAAAGAAGGAAGCACTGGTGGGAGTCTGACATTGAAATATGCATTATCCTTGAATCCTAGGCACTGCATTGTGCCTCTGATCCAAAGAATTTGGGGCAGAACCATAGTGCATAGCATGCTATAAAGAAGGTTAACCAAACTGAAGCACCCTACCCCAGGCAGTCGGTGCGGGATCTTAGGGCTTCTGGTGTGGCTACATATTACTGTGCTGTATGGATTTCAGTAGTCATTTTACTTCCCATGTTTGACTTCTCTTATTATCACTCAAGAGGTATTTAGGGTCACTAATCTTCATTATGTTCAGTTTGGGGAAAAAAAATCTGTTTTTCACTGTAAACAAATAGGTTATGTCACTGCAGGTTCCTAAAACCCTACAGAGGATAGACCATGAGATAGTTCAATATAATAGATATGAATGCCTATATGTGTTAATGTATATGTATGCAAAATTAGTTTTCTACAGATATAGCGCTCTTTGGTAAGGCTGTTATACAAGTTTATAAGTTGCAGTTCTATAATTATAAGTCTTTAACCTCACATATTATTCTTGAAAACGTGTATGTGTGTGTACATGCATATGTGTGTGTGTGTGTGTGTGTGTGCACGTGCGCGCGTGTATGCACACATGCTACCCAATGGTAGTTGGTAATCTGAAACAGACTGAAGGACTCAAAAAGCTTTTCCCTTCCCCTCGCCTTTCTTCCCCTTCCACTTGGCTTGATTAGACAGTCACTTTAGATCACGAAGATGAACTCCCACCAATGAGGCGAGATTTCAGTCACCACCTATTTTAGGGATGCTAGACAGGAGCCATGGTGGCTCTGGTGTGTTTCTAGCCCAGTGTTGGTTCTGACATGTCCTTTTTTCAAAACTAATTGCCTTTATGAGGTACTTTGGCTTTGTTCATGTGTCCCTTTGTATAATACCCAGATTATTTCTAAGAAAACAACTTAAATTATTGGACAGGGTTATGGGAGGTGTTCAAGAAATATTCAATGCATAAATGCATGTGTGAGTGTCTTGGGGCACTCATGTGTTTTCTCACTGCCTTTGTCCTTGCAAAGTATCTCTCTTAATACAGTGAGGGAGAACCCAGAAATGCTTATATGACCAAACCCGTTTTCAGCAGGACCTCTGAAAAAGTACACCACCTTTTCTCCATCCACACTCCAACATGGAAAGCCAGCTCCAGGCCTGAGACTTACTGGTCCTACTCCCTTACCCAACTCCATGGTGGGCAGCTCAGGAATGTCTCTCATGATGACCAGGAAATAGAGTCGGAGGCCCTGATAGGCATGGAGCAGCAGCAGGCAGAGGTCCCGGTGCCACTTGTGTGCATGCTGTATGCAGTTCTCTGAGGGGACATAGAAGCTTCCCTGAAGAGACAGAAGAAACAGAGCTGAGGAATCAATACTCACTCTGGCTTCACAGAGCTCCTCTCCTCCACCCACTATTAAGGGACTTTCTGAGGCTTCGCGACAGCAGGTCTGGTTCTTAGACACTAGGAAGACTTCACGAAGAAATCTGACTGAGTTCAAACCTCTTCTGTATCCATGCCAAGTAGGAAAAACCACAGGCATGCCATGCCTCTGCTGCATCATGTTCACATTAAGATAATCATAGTTATAATATTAAACATAACGGTAGACGACGGTGATTAAGAAGCCGGTGAGGCTGACAAGGCCCACATCAAGGTTTGTGATTCCTGACTGTCGCCCTCTTAGAAGTCACTTTCTCTGACTCCCAGAGGATACACTGTAGAAGGGGCTGGGGGACAGAAGAAGTGGTATCCTTTATGTGTGCAGGGGGGGAGGATCAGGCGGACTATTAGAACAGATGGGTGAGCAGCAGTCTGCGCTACAAAGGGAGAATAAAACTTACATAAATTTACAATTTATTTACAATTTTAAAATTGTAAGTGCGAAGTCGGGTCCTCAGTGCCAATGTGCTCAGCGAGAGCTCTGAGTCTGAGCACGTTCGGAAGGCCCTGCACAGTGGAATCTTTAAGGCCTTAGAGTTGGTAGAAAGCTATCTTGATTTGTGCAACAACAAGAACATGCCCAAGTCCACAGTCAGTTCAGTGTGGGGGAAAAGTATAAACAAGACAGCGTTGTTTGTCTTTAATGACACAATATGTCTCTCTTTTCAGCCTAAGAGAAAGATATTCCAGAGTGAATCGATGGAGAAATTTCTAACAGCAGAGAAAGGAAGCACGGAGTGGGATGTGGACCGTGGAAAATTGAAGATTCTGAGTGGTAAAAACATCTGGAAGTGTTACACGGCTGCTCATTTGTCTTCTCCTCCTCGGCCACAATGGAAGCAAACACTTGTTCTTCGTGATTCCCTGATGCTGCCTTGTTCATTCTGGAGAGAGATTTGGCTGGGAGGGGGTGACATGTACCCTCTTGGCTTCAGTGTGTGGGTCTGTGTGGGTGGTGATTCCGGCAGCCTGCAGTCCCACTCAGTCTCTGTTCTTTTGATAACTCAGCTGAATTGGTGTAGGAAGGGTATGGTAAATCAACACTCTTGAGTATGAGCCACCCCAGGGAAAGATGTGAGTCCTTGGGTAAGCAGTCCTTTGTAGAGCAGACATCAGTAGCTGGCCTGCAAAATCTCCAGCATGGATGGATTGGTTCAGAACTGAGGCGGAACCTGAACATTGTATCTCATGACCACCCCAAATACCTTCTGCTACAGTATCTACTTTCTAATGCCTTTATTCCCTGAGCTCTATAACTTTGTCTTATACCACAATGCTGTCTGGTCTTTCTAATTTAAACTTAAGAGAAAAATTACACAAGGGTAACAATAAATCATGAGAACAGTTTATGTGTACATTGCATGGTAGAGTAGGAAATACAGAGATGAAACTGGAAATTAAGGAGATAACATAAACAATTCTAAGAACAGTAAGTTCTTTTCTAAAAACTTAAATTGTAAAAGATCAACAACAAGCACTTCAAATAATTTGACTGATATTCTACAAAGAGTATTAAGAATACCACATAGACAATGAAATGCGTTGTATAAAACGATAATAGAAATGAAGAATCAAACAGAAGGATGTCTTAGTTACTCGGTGCAAACTGGCTTAGACTATGGGGTGACACTGAGGTAAAGAGGGGGTGAAAGTGACGAGACTGGCTCGGGATGAGGGGTTCCCCCGCCCCCCAAGAATCTATATTCTTCTATAAGTCGTGTCTGTTTTAAAACCTCAGGTGAACCCTTGTTCTCACTGTACTGGTTTAACTCTGGTATATACTTGTGAAAAGTTACCTCTCGTCATGGAAAGGGATGACAGAAAGCTAAGTAGATTAAGATTAACATTAACTCCACAGGGGGAAAAAAATGTGTTCCAGTCATTGCTTGCCAAGAATAAATGTTACATGCTCTTAATTACAGTTCTTAAATGTTAACAGGATATCAATATAAAAAAATATAAAAAAGATTTTCTTAAGGAATAACAAAAAATTGTTGGAACCAAGAGATTTACCCAGAAAATTCAACCAAGTAGAATGTGTTCATTTGCCCAGCTCCGAGGATCACTTGCTTGTTTCTGTTTGTTACCTCTCATAATATATTCCGATTGAACACCAAGTAGCAGGTGTAGCTGTAGAAAGACCAGCAGAACGTGTTCACACCAAGAAGTATGTCAGCTTTCCCACACTCACAGAGCATAGGAAATTCTCCCTAATGAACCCCGAAGACAACTCCATTGTGTTGATCTCCTTTGATCTCTAACAAGTTTTGTGGACAATAGGTACTCTACATTTCTCTTTTCAAAGCTGAACACAGATTTCGAAAGAGGAAAAAAGTTTAGTATCACAAAACATAATGTGTAATTTACCGATGTCCAGTAAAATTATTGTAGACCTTTCTACAAAACATCCTAATACATATATGCATATATACACAGGTATGTGCATTAATACATGTGTAAACATATACAGACATGCCCATAAAGTGGAACATGATCTTATTATTTTGATCTTATTATTTTTGGATTTTCTTCTACAACAATGTGACATGGAGTTCTTTGGGATCAGACAAAAGGCCAAGTCACAAGAACACTTCTTTCCACTCCATAGATCAAAAGACTGGGACTCAAAGTATTAAAGGCCCCAGACAAGACAAAGTCACCCCATTTTCCAGTAGCAGAAATGGCTCTTTGAGTCTATGGTGAAACAAAAGCTCTATGTCTGGGTGCATACTCAGAGAAATTATTTAGGGAGAAAGAGGCAGGGGAAAGGAAGGGAGAGAGAGAGAGAGAGAGAGAGAGAGAGAGAGAGAGAGAGAGAAAGTTGCACCTGTCAGAGACAGAGAACAGATGCTCAACAGAAGTCTGCTTGTCTTGACAGAGGCATTAACACAGAAGTCCCACAGTGTCTTCATTTGCTGTGACTAAGCAACAGTAAATGCAGGAAGGGAGGATAAAGGACCTCAGATCCAGTAGTCACGATAATGCTTCTGGAAGTCCTGAGATTCCATTTTTCTGCTCTTCCTCTGTCTCAAAATTCCATCCTCTTGCTGCCATGGCCTTCTTTTGAAAAGCAACCCAGAAGCTAATGAAGAGGGTAAAGAATCCTTGAAATATGCTGAGTTTGGCTTCCATTTTACACATTTAATTCTTGATAACGTGACACTGAAACGCAATACGCTATGATCGTATTCACATGCCCACGCTGCTGCTCTCTCTAATCCCCTCACCCACCACCAGTCCCTTCCCAGGTGGTCCTCCTCCTCCCTTCCCAGGTGGTCCTCCTCCTCCCTTCCCAGGTGGTCCTCCTCCTCCCTTCCCAGGTGGTCCTCCTCTTCCCCTTCTCAGGTGGTCCTCCTCCTCCCCTTCCTCCTGCCAGCCGCTTTTATTTTTGTGATTGTTGTTGGTGGTGGTGGTGGTGATGACAGTGGTGGTTTTTTTTTGCTTTTGTTTGTGGTTTGATTGGTTGCTTTTGTAAACTCCCTACAGGTAGTGACGACCACTGCATTGATATCTTGACTGGAAATGTAATACCTATGTCAAAGAACATTTCAGAAGAGGGAGCGGAAGAGCCTTTGGGAACTGAAGGGGGAGAATGTGACAGTCTCTGTTTTGTAAGTTTGGATTTTAAAATAGGACTCAGTGTCAGATGGATGTTTTAAGAATGACAAAAAAAAATTGGTGAATCTTCATAAGGTCAGTTCATTATCAGTATGGAGGAAGGTAAGGAGTCTAAATGTTAATCTAAGCAGCTATACTGAAATGTGGCTGGAGAGTATTATTTTAAACACTAAATCCCATTGTCCATAAGTTACACAAGGGTGTAGCTTTTTGAAACTGGACAATATAATATATAAAATCACACAGCTGCCCTGCAGGCCTGCAGAACCCATACATATGCAGAAAACCAGTATCCTCCATCAGAGCTTCACAAAGTATCCCAAAGTGTAAGGAAACACACTTAGAAGTCAACTTCTCTAAGTCTGGAATAAGATATGTAAACAGTGAGAGAGGAATCAAACAGGGCAGGCACATTGCCAGTCAATACATTAACTCACAAATGGTGGCATTCCCTGGACTGGACTCCATCTACAGGTAGATACACAACAAAAGACAGCTGCCTCTTTCTTTCTATAGATGAATCAAATCCTGTGTAAGTAGAAAATATTCATACAGGTGGATAGAAGTGAAATGGAGTCCTTGGTCAACAGAGAAAGGAGTTTGGATGTCTGAGCTTTTGGTTTGATTCTTTGCTACTGTCACCTTGAACAGTTTCCTCCATCTCAGGACTGCAGATACATTGTCAACAAAAAGGGACCACTCACAATACAGGCATTATAGATAGGCCACTACTAGAAAGCAAATGAGGGCATTCAGGTAAAATGTTGAGTCGGTGCCTGCTGAAACACACTTGTGCACACTCAGAGACACAGTCCTTGATGGATTCGTGAACATGCCCACAGATAATGCAGCCTAACAATCAACACACTAAAAATGTATTAACTAAGAGTGACTTAACTGGTCTCCATCGGTAACTTGTAGACATGTGCTACTTTCAGCACAGATCCTGGATTCAAATAGATCTCTGCTTGTGGATTAGAACCTCATTAGCTATGTTATGGTAAGTTTGCCCACTAACATCAGAAGAGCAAATTTCCCAATGGAGGAAGTGGGGATAGTAACAACGTGTGGTTTATAGTTAACTGACCAGATGCCAGTTAAGTTTACTTTGTATGACATTTATTACCTACCAGTATATACATATATCAAAGCATAATTTTGTGTGCTCTGGATACTACCTGTGGATACACACCTTTCAAATGTATACTGCTTCATCTGAATATAGCGTTGGACTCCAGATTTCTGAATTTCTCACTTAGGATTGGGCATCTTGTCGGG